CATGCTGGAGCAAGGTGCAAATAGAATTGAGATTTTTCTCCACGTGCCTTGGGTCAAGACGACGCAAGAGATCTAAAGCAGCATCATATTTATCTTCCAGAGACATACTTATTGAAGCATAGGTGTCTTGGCTGTAGAATACTAGTTAAGGCCATGGTGCACGGGTGCGCGAACGGCTGCTTTATTAGAGCGAAGGTCGCTCTTGATTCGGAGCTACTATTGAAAATGTTATTATGCAATCTTTTTATATTAAACCCTTAACCTAAGTAATGTAACACGCAGAACTGAAACCTTCTATGCAATCTCTTACTGTGGCACGTACTCAACACCCAAACGAGGAGCGTTGATGATAATACCCATCAAGATACCAGACATGATACCTGCAACAGGCAAGGTGATAAACCAGCCCAAGTAGCACCAAGTCACCATTCTCCAGTTGACACCCTTGAGGTCCTTGTTACACAAACCAACAAAGACGGTGGCACCGACGGCACACTGGGTAGTAGAAACTGGGATAGCCAACTGGGTAGCCATGACGACAGTGATAGCAGTACCGAACTCAATGGCGAAACCTCTGGAAGGCGACTGCAAAATCAACTTGTTACCAAGAACACTCATAATCTTGTAACCGAAAGTCCAGATACCAATGACCAAAGCGGCGGCAGTGAAACAAAGAATCCAGATTGGTGGAGTGTCAGTGATGGCCTGGTCGTTCCACACAAGGAAGACAGTGGAAAGAGGGCCGGAAGCGTTAGCAATATCGTTGGCACCGTGAGTAAAAGACATGGTACAGGCGGTAATGCACTGGAGCAAGGAGAAAAGGTACTCAACCTTGTTGTTGTAGAACTTGGACTTAGCATGCATGCCCTTCACGTTAGCAGCCAAAACACCCTTAGAGTTGGTCTGAATGGAAATAACGTCCTGGGTGAAACCGTGGGAAACAATGAGCCACAAAAGGTAAGGCCACTTCTTTGGACCAGCCTTGAGGAGCTTCCACCACTTCAGTCTAGTGGACTCCTCCTCCTTGATCTCAACGGAAGAAGAAGAGTCAAGAGAGTTGACAGACTCCTTGGTTGGGTTTTCCTTGTTGTCGGCCTCAGAAATGTCCTGGGCAGCACGCTCGACAATTCTACGACCTTCGTAGTAGTCGATAGTGATCTGGTGTCCCTCAGGCATTGGAGGAATCTGGTCCAAAGGCTTGACCCAGTAGACTGGGCCTCTGAAGACATCGTACCACTTAAGAGTCCAGTCGTTGTGGAGGATCTTTCTGCTGACCACTGGGAAAACAAAGATCATGTAAAGAACCATAGCGACACCACCGACACCGAAAATGGCACCGACGGTAGTACCGGCAGAGAGATCGTCCAAGTTCAAGTTTGGAGAACCCTTCCAGACAATCAACATGGTCAAGACACAGAAGGTGATGAAAACCAAAATTGGAATCAAGCACAAGGCGTTCTTGATAGATCTTCTCTCGTCCTTAATTTCCAAGACACCGAATTTGGCGATAAGGAAAACGATGGAGCCAAAGGCACCAGCGATACATGGAGCAATAAACCAAGAGGCAACAATTTGGGCAAAACCCTCCCAGCCCCAAATAACGTGGTCAGCACCTCTAGAGGCGATACCAACACCAATGACGGCACCAATGATGGAGTGGGTAGTAGAAACAGGCATACCGATGGTGGTGGCGATGGACAACCAGATGGAAGAACCGACAAGAGCAATGGCCATTCCCAACATAAGAACAGTAGGGTCGTCCTCAAAAGCATCAACGGAAAGAATCTTCTTTCTCACAGTGTCAGAAACTCTGTTACCGACCAAGACAGCACCGAGAAACTCACAAATGGCCGCCAAAATCATGGCCTGCCAGTACTTCAAAGACCTCGAAGAGACCGAGGACGAGAAGGAGTTAGCAACATCGTTGGCACCAATGTTGAAGGCATCCAAGAAGGCAAAGATGATACCTATGGCGAGGATGTAGTCGAACTGGTGATAAGCCATGGAAAGATTTGTTTTTTGTTGTTGATGAGAGACAGAGACAAGGGCAGAGGAGCGGTTTTATATGATTTAATTAGGCACCACGAGGCCTAATAGCGTCAAGAGTATTTTTCTTAGCAGATGAACGGGTGCAAAAAAGAATATGCTGTGCGGCAGAGCGTCTCACAATGGCGCCAGCTGCACCGATTCCTTGGCACCTAATAACTTAACGGTCTTGGCAGCCCACGTTGTCGATGCTTTTGACATTCACTGGAGCACCCACAATTGAAACCGACCGCATAAGCAGAATTTTTGACGTGGTGCCCGAATTTCTGTTTCCCACCTTTTTCCCAGACCCATAATCTAGTAAATCTTGCAGGGCACGGCGCTATCAGTCTCGTGAGATGCTACTGCAATAGTGAGCACGCGACCCACGTGGGAGGGTTCTTTGGCTGCGAAAAGAAAAAAAGCACTGCCAGCGGCTAATTGTGACGTCCTCGCACCAATTGCGCCTGAAGCCAGGGGTGATTCTGCTGCGGACACAGCTCTGCCGCCGGACTGAGATCCATGGCATTAGGGCGCAGACTTTGTGGGTTGGGCATTTGAAGCTTCCACGTGGGAACAGCTCTGAAGCGGAACATAAAGTTCAGAGGCAATTGAAAAAAAAAAAAAATAAAGGATTACGCTAATGGTCTATTGAGCTTTGTGTTCTGGAACGGATCGTGGCTTGGTGCCTCCTTGTGTTGCTGGGGTCTCGTGGACTTAGACCTCGGAACGCGAGAGCTCCTACCGAAGCAATATGCTGTCATCGGCCGAGCGATAAGATTGAGCATCCCCATGCCCGATAGCGCGCGGCCTACTGCTGAAGCTCTGCCACCGGGCATTTTTCATGAAAGCCTTTTTGCTCCTTGATTTTTTCCACTTTGTTACCTCAAACCGAAATGTAATTCATTTACGGCTGGAGGCTTGCGGAATGCTGTTACGGGCCAACTTTTGCAACTACGCAATTGCCGTGAACGGCTGAACCCATATGGGTCGACGGCAGAGGCTGATTGTTCTCTTCTGTGATCAGCGTGTTCTCCTCTCTGGGCCTTTGTTCAATCCCACGTATTTCCGCTGCTGATACGGGTTAGCGCCGATACGGGCCCCTTGGTCAATACAAAAACACCCACGGGCTCCTTTGTTTGTGCCCTTTCCATTGACTCAATTGGCGCTGCTTCAATTACCAGCTGCTTCTGCCGTGTCCTTTCTGCCGCATCCCGTATTTCAACATACCCGCTTAGCACGCTGCCCTAGAGATCAATTAGCCATGCACGGGGTGACGCACAAACTCGTAATTACTGGATTTGTCCATTTTGTGTCAGCCAAGCGTTCGATGATTAAGCGGTTCCCCGCGTCCAGACGGCTCTGTTTTATTTTGTCCGATAGCCCATGGTCCACGTTTCCTGCGGCTTCTGCTGCTGCTTACACCTAATCTCGAGGCGTGGTGGTAATAAGTTGCGTCGCTCGTTTCGCATATCGGGGGCTTTGCCTCGCTTAGCCAGCCGCTACTGCGAGTTTCGTCGGCGGATTTATTACCTGACGTTTTTCGCCGTATCTGCTCTACGTTTTGAAAGGCACTCTTGCAAAGGCATTGGGAAGTTTGGAAATTACCTCGGACGACTGGACCATGTGGCTGTGCCCAGTGCCTCACAACCAAGCGCTAGGGGATGCGTTTTTTTGGTCAATTCGGACATTCACATGGGGCCCAGCATTCTACCTCTAAATTGGATCATAAATCTGCCGATCTTCACTTGGCTCTTGCTTGGTGTTTTAACGATTGGTCAGTGCATCCAGATGGCTGCGAATTGCTGGAAGCGTGGTTTCGCTTGTGACCACAACAATTCAGAACAATAAGCTTTCGCGTGACCGTGATCACGTGGACATGGAACCTTCCAGCCTCTTCCCTTTTTTTCTTGACATCCCCCTATTCTTCAAAATATAAAGTTTTCATTTTCACGGCCGATTTTTTAGTGTTACTTTGAAAGCAAATGCAGCCCCAGATGCTGGTCCACCGCTGCTCGGCCAATCTAAGAGCACCATTAGTAATATCGCGCGTCACGTGATGTGGGGTACTGTATGTCATTCACTTACCGCAAGAAAATCTCGGAAGCGAGCTTCGGAGAAGTGTCTGACTACATTACTTATAAGCACCAGATCGCAGTTACACCCAAACACTCATCACCATGTTTCACAAAACTGCATTATCCAGACTCAGCAAGAGGCTCCTTTCTTTCAAGACATACCCAACCCCAAATCAGAATGCATTGAAGTTTGTGTCCCCTGAATGTGCAATTTCCCCCTTAGAAAATAAGACATTTGAGTTCGGCTCATCCCTCCAAGCTGTCCACTCTCCATTAGCCTTGAAGCTTTTCAAGATCGCCGGCATCAAATCTGTTATGATCGGCCATGATTTCCTTACTGTTAACAAGCAAGATCACATCAACTGGGCTAACTTGCGTCCCGAGGTGACCGAATTGTTGGACGAGTTCCTCACAGCCAATAAAGAACCTACTATAACAAAGGAACTTTTGGAATCCGAAGAAGATTCACTTGCTGCTAATGAAAATGACACTGAGATCGTTGCCATGATCAAGGAATTGATTGAAACCAGGATTAGACCCGCCATCCAAGATGACGGTGGAGATATCGAATACAAGGCATTTGACGAGGAAACCGGTACCGTTTTCTTGAAGCTTCAAGGCGCTTGCAAATCATGCTCCGCTTCTGAAGATACGCTAAAGGGTGGTATTGAAGCCATGTTGATGCACTACATTGAAGAAGTCAGAGAAGTTGTCCAGATCCTCGACCCTGAAGAGGAGATCGCAAACAAGGAGTTTGAAAGACTAGAACAAAAGCTTAAGGACAGAAAAGACGCTTCTCCTCCCCCACCCCCTCCATCCTTGTGAGCCCCATCTATAGCATCATCCATTATTTATTAATCTGCATTCATTCCATTCGGCCTTTCGTAGCAATTTCCTCTATTTATATTTCTGGAGAGAATCGAGAACCTGTTGCTTTATCATCGCCAACATCCGACTCTCTTCATACCTAGAGTCCAATTCCTTCAATAAGCCGTCATCGACACATCCTTTACTGATAACGATTCTGACCTCTTCGAAGAAATTCTTCCTCCAATTTTTCGTGAAGTTATCCCATTCACGGGAAACATGATTGAACCCTAAAACCCATCCCAATAAGCCAATTGCAAAAGCTGTGTTGGCTTGAAGACCAACAAATAAGTATCCCAAAATTGACAAGACTGTCAAGGGAAGCTGGTAGTATATGAAACCTAAGGCGAGGCAGCTGTATACCACTGGCTGAATTTCGTTGGCAATACGCTCGTTTACTAGCGTCCTCTTGAATGCTTTCAATGGATTCAAAACGCCAGTCTTATCAGAGTATGCTGCAAACTTTTGTTCTTGAAGCCTAGCAGTGAGTTGACCACGAACATAGTTGTAGCTCTCTATACTTTTGGGCATAAAGTTTGCCTGAAAGAAGTCTTTGAGCCAGTACTCCACATTGTCGTTCCTCCAATACAACATGTACCACCTGAGCTTCTTATCAAAAAACTCATTTGTTTTGGGTATCAATGTCCTTTGAAGCTCCTCATGCATAGATGCGCTGCACTCAACCAAACTGTTTAACTTGAGATCGTCGTAGATTTGAGTAATTCTTGTTTCTGACAAACTGTTCCTCGCGATCTCAGTACAAATGACATGGAACATCCACGAGGTCAAGTTTTCGGTACGCAAATACCACAGTAGGAATTTGCCGGCTTCAATAATGTTGCTTTCTTGTAATGCATTAAAGTACTCTGATGCTGCTTTGGTGTCTTCTTTGAGGAACAACTCAATGCCCGCAAAAGCCGTTTTGGAATTGATTTTGATCGAGTGGTGAGTTACAGAATTTGACCGTTCGAATGTTACCGGCGTCAGTTCGGCAGAATGTGGTGTGAACTCGGTGTTGTCGATGATAGTAAGCATTATCTTCTTCTGAACATGGCGAGGAAGATTATCCATGAGCGTAGAGAATTCACTGGTGACATAAATGAAGAATTGGCAATTGTCAGTGAGCTTATGGACATCGCTTTCCCTATTGATCTCTAGAAGAGCCAAACTGTTAGGTGTGGTACTCAGAGGTTCGAACACTTCTGGATATGTTCGTCTGAGCTCCGGAATCAACATTGGAGAGGGCACGTTATATTTCGTTACTGTGCGCTCGAAGGCTCCCGGAAGGATGAACTCGCTTGGATCAGGATCCTGGATATGAATCAAATTGTTCTTTTCTCTCGAACGATTTGCCAAAGGTCTAAACCACTCCTCATTATTGGAAGACAATGGGTCTGCCAAAAGTGATTCTATGACACGAGAAGTTTTGCGAACTTCGTCCGACTCATATAGAAGTCCCACAAGAATCTTCTCTGATTTTGTTGTATTTCTGCGTAACCCCAAGAACGATTGTATCGTGGAGTAGGTGACAGTGTCGTACGGATACCACCTGACGTACTTTTTGAGGCCATCAGTAACAGATGTAATTGGCGATAGCTCTAGTTTGTTCGACTTGGTTTCTGGCGTCTTAGCCGTGGATGAATTGAATCGTAAGGCAATTCTGGACGATCGCTTCCAGAGCCTGATGGGGAGCCGGGCCAGCCGTATGAACATAGCAATTGGCTAATTATTTGTACTAATGAACGAATGGATTTTGCGTGAGCCGAATGTATATGATCAGGGCCTCAAGTGATCTCGATGTAGTAGTTGTCGCGAGAAGATCGGTCGCACCGAAATGCGGTTGATTGTGAGTGGACTAGAAAGGGTCCCCTAGTTAGGTGACCAATCTTCTTATGGAAAAGGAGATTCTAGAATAGTTTTGTTATCCTCGAAGGATTGGCATTCTAGTATATAAAATTGTTTGTTGGTGTATGCAAAATTGTTCACTTCGTGATGCACGTCAGTTTTCGACCAATGGTTGCGAAATACTACGCAGCTACTCCAATTTGAAAATTGTTCACAATTTGTAGAATGATCAAAACTATTGTCTCGGTAAAGATCTGATATTGCGTTACATGAATTGAACAGTTTGGAATCTCTTATTCAGGACAGCCAGGAAGGATCAGATTTCGAACATCTATAACAAGCTTCTTTATCACTTTCGAACGGCACCGATAGATAGTAGTAGAACCACACGTATGGAACCACCTCGATTAAGCCATCTCTTGGAAGTCCGACCAAATCTAGTAAAAGAATACAAATGATGTATTTTTCATAGAAATTGTATTTGCAAAACACGTCAAATAGCCGTGCTCTCTTTCGATAGCTGCCCAAACCTTGGTGGCTCGTACGACGCAGTCCACGCATGTGTCAGGGTGCAAAATCCGGGGTATTCTTCGAATCGGCTTCGTGAGAGCGAATTTTGACTACCAATCTATTTTATGAAAGAGTCAACAACTTAAAGGTCAAAAGCAGCCTATTGTTGTATTTTGAGGTGGGGTCGGTAATCCTCGCTTATGCACCTTTTGTATGTTGATAACAGTGCGATTTGACATACGGTCAACATTCGCAATAACTACTCCTTTTCATGCCTGTGCTTCCCAACGAGCGTCCAGGCCGTCTGGCTCTTCAGCAGGGCTGGGGGATTCTCAGCAAATACGCGTCCTTCATTGGTCCAGGTATTATGGTCTCCGTTGCATACATGGATCCCGGCAACTATTCCACGGCAGTTTCGTCAGGTGCTGATTACGAGTACAGTTTGTTGATTATAATTTTCCTCAGCAACTTGTTCGCTGTTGTTTTGCAGTGTCTATGTGTCAAGTTGGGTACCGTGACTGGGCTTGATTTGGCTGAGATGTGCCGTTTGAATTTGCCCTGGTGGCTTAACTTGTTCTTGTACGCCTGTGCTGAGATCGCCATTATTGCGACTGATTTGGCAGAAGTTGTGGGAACTGCTATTGCATTAGAGATCCTTTTTGGTATTCCACTCGTTTATGGCGTTCTAATTACGGTTTTAGACGTGCTTATAATCTTGTTGGCGTATCACAAGGACGGAAACTTGCGTCAGACAAGAACATTCGAGATAATGGTTGCAATGTTGGTTGCTGCTACGTGCGTGTGTTTTATTGTCGAGCTTTTCAAGTGTGACTTTGAGCCTGGTTCTTTTGGCAAAATCGTCGAAGGTTTCTTGCCTGTGAATTTGGGTGTGTTCACCGAGTCTCGGGCATTATTCTTGAGTTGTGGTATCGTTGGAAGCACTGTCATGCCACACTCATTATATCTTGGATCATCATTGGTTCAGTCCCGGTTGAAGGATTATGATATCAAAAATGGCAACGTTGACGTCAACGACGAAGGCGAAATAAACCTACCAGCGGAGGAGCAAAGCATCCATTTGGCTCCAGCCCAGAATAAGTTCCTTGCAATGTCCGATGGATCCAGCCTCGCCAGGAAGTATCGTCCTTCTCATGCTGCAATCAAGTATTGTTTGAATTACTCGTATACTGAGTTGGTTCTCTCATTATTTATCATTGCAGTATTTGTGAACGCGTCAATATTGATTGTGGCAGGATCCACATTATACGGCAAGCCTGATGCTGATGACGCTGATTTGTTGTCCATCTACGAAATGTTGTCTCACTACATTTCTCCAGCCGCTGGTTTGATTTTTGCATTATCCATGCTTTTCTCGGGGCAAAGTGCTGGTATCGTTTGTACCATGGCAGGTCAGATTATCTCAGAGGGATTCATTAACTGGTCCTTCAAGCCTTGGCTTCGTCGTATCATTACAAGAGTTTTGGCGATCATTCCAGTGTTGATTGTCATCATTATTTTAGGTCGCGAGGGTGTGGCTACAATCATGAACTCTTCTCAAGTTGTTTTGAGTTTTATTCTTCCAGTCGTCAGTGCTCCATTGATATGGTTCACTGCTAGCCGTAAGTATATGGCTGTCAGTGACATCAGATCTGGTCAAGCTGACGAGCAAACGGCGTTATTATCAGAAGGTGAGGGGGCGAGCGATTCTTCGCAAAAAGTTGTGTTTTTCGAGAATAGTAAGTGGTTGAATGTGGCAGCTATTGGCACATGGCTCATTATTACGTTCTTGAACATCTATTTGGTGTACCTCTTTTCCATTGGTATTGAGGTTTGATTAAAATACATAGGGGGTGGTGGTTTTAGATAAAGATAGACATTTACATGAAACCTTTCTTCTTTTTGTAGGGCCCTCTGATGCTAGCGAGTCTGCCAGTCTTGTTAATCGAGGAAGTGGATGAAGGCATGTGTCCCGGCAAAACACCTGGGATCTCATTAAGTAGCACAGGCAACTCCTTGCTGAGAGTGTGAGGGAAAGCCTGGTCCTGACCGGCTTTGGACCGAAGAAGGAGCGTAAGAAGTTTCGTGATTTTCTTGTAAAGAACAACTTCTGCAACAGATGCATCGTGCTTCTTGTTACCGTTCAGACGGTATCTTTCTTGACGCAACTTGTTGAGTCTGAGAAGACTCAATGATATGATCTTTTGGATTCTTGCAGGCGATTTGAATTCTTCTTTTTCTCGTTTCATTTCAGCTAAGGCCGCAACCTCTTCTGGTCTGTAGTTTACAAGATTCTCAAGCTTGATCACATCCAGGCTTGCGTCTAAGTCGTCCAAATCAAAATTGTCCTTTCCATTTGCATCGATGGCAGCTGGTTGGTCATCGAGAGGGGTGTCTTCCTCCATGGCTGTGTCCTCCTTATTAGGAGCTGGGCGATCACCATTCGATGTTGAGATTCCAGAATACTTTTTCGTTATGTCATTTATCAACTTGACACCAAAATGATTGAACCACACGGAGTTTCGAAGTTCAGCGCTGAGAACCGAGTTTCTCGAGTCAGTGGCTGGACCAAACGATCTTATCGTACTGGACACCTTCTCAAAAGTTCTCAACTCGTTGTCGAAAGTTTCTTTAACAAGGGTAGACTCAACTGGCGGTTTCAATGCTCTTTGCTTATACACCAACCACTTGGGGGCCTCGACAGTATACCAATTTGGATGGAAGAAGCTATCCAAGACTTGACCACCAAGCTGACCAGGTCCAGGCGGTTTGGCCACGGGGTTTCCGTAGTTCTTCAAAGTTTCTGAGTTGCTTGGAACGGTTTTGGTGGTACCGACGACCTTCGCCAACAGGTATGGATCAGGTACTATTGTGTTTCTAAGATCAAGAGCTGACTTACCAATCAAACTGGAGAAGAGTGGCTGCGTTTTGATCTTAGGCTCGGGTGGTGATTGGGAGGAATATAAGCTGTGGTAGGCTGGAAGAGGTGGCTCCTCCACCTTGTTCATGTAAACAACAGTTTCACCATTAGCAACATTGTAGCTTGAAGAAATCTTGTCAAAGTCCTCACGCAATACGTTGAGAACATCTTCAGGATCATCCTTGACGACTTCCTCATCTTCATTCGTGAGCCGGAGGCCCAAACGTCCAGTTTCTCTGATCAAGAGTTCTGTGGTGAACTTATGAAAGTAATCAATGTTTTGGTAATCGCCGGTGCCAATTTCATGCTTGGCTATCTCTTGACTGGACGCCACAGTTATATCATGATAGATTTGGTAAGGGGAAGTGTACTGGCCTTGGTCTATTTTGTGCTTTATCGAGACTCTCTTGTCATCAGGGGTTTCGTCTATGTGTTTTTGGAGTGACTCTAGTATAAACTCAGGAGTTTCTTGGAAAAAAGTCTCAGGAATGGACTCTTGTTGGATTATGGCTAGTGTATCAGCTTTTTCTAAAACCACGAAGAAATCTAATAGTAGCTTGGAGACGACTTGGTGTTAGTAAATTGACCGAAGCATAACAGACACATAATTCATCAAAAAGAAATAAGAATCAGTCAATTTTTTGATGATAAATTGTAGTCTGGGGTGTGTTCTCATTGTACATACTTTGATTATCGTTTTTCATGGTGCGGTAAACAAATGTAGACAGTTACTGGTAAACGCTTTTTTTTTCTACTCACTTTTGGTGTTGATAATGCGCGTGCAGGAATTTGGCTTGACTACACACTTTCCTTATATACATGCCGGGAGCACTTCGTACTCTTACTCTTCAAATAAGAGTTTGATCTCCTCGATTCTTTGCTTTCTTCTTTCTTCCTCTTCAACTTCAACTGCTTCTCCCATCATACGCTTCCTTTCTTGAATGCGCAACATCTTGGTTTCTATACTGTTCTTCACAATGAAACGTATTACCTTCACATTCTGAGCTTGACCAATTCGATGAATTCTGTCAATAGCCTGATCCTCAACACTTGGTGACCACCACGGGTCCATCATAAACGCACGATTAGCGCAAGTAAGATTGAGACCGACTCCCCCTGCTTTCAACGACAAGAGGAGGACAACAACCTTTCCACTCATTTTACGCTCGGCGGTGAAGCTCAGCAAGATCTTTTCACGATCGTTGAGATTCAAACGGCCATCAAATTTGTAAACCTCGAAATCGTCGCCATTGTTGCTGATGACCTTCAACTCGTTTTCGATCAAGTCAAGATAACTGGAAAATTGAGAGAATACCACAACTTGCTCACCCGGAGCTTGATCCTTGAGGGCTATAAGATGAGTTATAAGCGCCTCAATTTTTGAGGATGTTCTGTCTGGATCATAGTGATAAAGCTGAAATTCATACTTTGCGCTCGGATCGTCCACTTGCTCATTTGTGTGGAATCTAACTTCCTTCTTTTCCATCTCCTTATTTCTAGTTTTGAAGAGTCTGTATATCGAGATTGGGCCACGACAATCTGGACAAAGCGGACTGTTTCCGTTATTAGCCTGGAACTCTATGTGTTCCTTCAAGCAATGGAAACAAAAGCTATGTCCACATTCAGTAACTATCATCTCTCCAACACTAATCGGAGCTTGCGTACATATCGAGCACTCACTATTCGGGATATCGATACGTTTGTAAAGACCATACATCGTCTGCTTCATTTTTGTATCGCTTTCAAATCTCTCAGACAAAGAGGGTTTCTCAAATTCTTCTAACTCACGAGCCCAAGTCTCATCGAGCTCATCACTTTTAGAAACGAGGTCAGCATGGCAACATATTTGTCTTAACCGCAATATGTGTGTCAAGATCTGGGTATACTTCTTCAACAAATCACCGCTCTTAATACCATCCTTGAAGGACTGGAATGCTCTGGTTTTAAAGAACTCATAAAAAAGTTGTTCTCTCTTGCTGAAATCAAGTTCTTGCACGATGACTTCCTTCTCTGGGAGACTGATGAGAGGTTTGCCTTCTTTCAGTTTCATGTTCTTTGTACGCCTCAAAAATATCGGCTGCAAGATGGACTTGACAACGTCCAACGTTTGGTTGAACTTCTTTTGCTCAAATGGTAAGGTCACAAATGTTTTCCAGTATGAAAAATTACTCCACGGTTCAAGCTTCAAAAACTTGACGATGGAGAATATATCATCTAGCCTGTTTACCACCGGAGTTCCAGTTAGTACCCATTTTCTTCTCAGCTCCAACTCATGAACAGACTTCGCCGTTTTGGTAGTCCTATTTCTAATCGTATGACCTTCGTCCAAAACAATTCTGAAATATTCCACAGAGAATAGACCCAACTTAGGGAGTTTGCCGTTTTCATCACGCGTTTTGTTGAAACGAGTCCACTCGTTCTGAACTGTGCCGTAAGTCGTCAAAACGACAATCGGTATATTGGTGGATCGTCCGCATAAGGTTTGAGAGAAATCGGCCTGAACTGTATCACCATAGTAAATGAAGCACCTATGGTTCTTATTGTTATTAGAACGGTCGAACTCGGCCTTCCACTGTGACAACAATGACATCGGAACAATAATTAAGGTCGATTTGGAAGCATAACGAGGAGGCTCGAATTTGATTGCCTCCAAGTCATAAGGAACGGAATGAATGAGGGACAAAGTCGAAATCGTCTTTCCCAACCCCATCTCATCAGCAAGGACTCCACCCTTTAAAAAGCTCTTCATCATAGGTTTATCAGTGGACATCTCGCCGTTATACAAATTGGCGTAAAAAAACTCGTCCTCCGGCAGGTTTTGAACCTCACTTGCAGGGTCTGTGGGCCACTTGAATTTGCTCCAAAGAGGGTTCACCACACCCTCATCTTGACGAATAGCTTGACGCCTTTGGGTGGAAAATCCTTCGCCTTCACTCGTTGACAAGGTCTCGAGAGTATCAATCTCTTTTTCTCTCGCCAACATCCATGAAAGTCCATGTTTTTGGTAAGGTCTGAGCTCCAACTTGAAGTTCTCTTTTGGAGGCGTCGTTGACTCCGGCAAATCATCTAAATAATCTGAATGCTGGTTAGCGGTGTAGAAGTCTTTCAACTGATCAAGACTAAGTTCATCCACTGTGGCATTGGTAGAGGTGTCTTCGGGGGAGGCATCATCATCGAGCACCACAAGTTCTTCAGCGGGCGGCAGATTTTCATCAAACGGAACAATATGTAACTTATCGAACAACTTTGCGATGGACTTCTGTTTGAGTCTAAGAGCTGCCTCAGCATCGGTTTCTTTTGAGTAGTTGAAACCAGCCCCCTTTGCGACTTTTCTTTTCTTTGATGGGGAAGCATTATCCACATCCTCACTGCCAACGTATTTTTCATGATTGACAAAAGTATTGTTATTGAGGAAGCAGCGGACCAGAATGTAGAAAGGGTCACCGATGGAAATTCGTTTGCTCGTTTCCATCATCACTGCTGCTTCGAAATGAGCTAAGTCGAGATCAATTAAAGGCGAGAGAATTCTGGTAACATCTTCCGGTAGACGGCCTATCTCTCTGTTGTCACTTCCTTCAGTGTATAATCGAATAACAGCTGAATCCCCAAACTTTGCCTGAACCTTTGAGGATCTTTTCATCTTAGTTGGTATAAGTCTCTTTATCATCAAGGGCTGCTTGTAAGTAAGGCTGCGAAGGTATGGTCGCGTCGCCCAAGCTTCCAAATGAAGCGTTCCTATGTATTTCTTCCACAGACTGGCCTTGATCTCCTCTTGGTCTTGCTTCACTTGAGTTCTCATGCGTTCATATAGCTCTTTGATCTCCTCGTTTCGCTCTTCCTTTACATCCATTTCTTCCTTGACCTCTTCTTGCGTTGGAGTCGCGCCCAACTCCATGTTATTGAAGTACTCATTCGTCGCAAGCTGAATATAGTTGGGTCTATTGAAGTACTTTTGGTAAAGATGACGCAATGCCTTGTTGGAGGCATCGCCAATAACTGATTGTAGTTGACTTTTGAAAAGATCAAAACCGATTTGAGATAGTCTAGTTTCGGAGCCGTTCGAGTCTTGCAGAGACGCTAGAGTCGTCTGCTCTTCAACAGGCTGACTCAGCATGGTGACAGGAACTTGAGTCATAGTCGTATCCTGGGTAGGCTGTGAAGAACCGTTCTGGTGAGGCTCCTCAATCACCTCGACCACGTCCTCATCATCGTCTTCTTGTACAAAGAGGGACTCGGCCGAGCTTTTGGGTGGCTCAACACGAACAGGTTCAGGTATGGATGATGACCTTGGAGGAGGATTCGGACGAAAGAATCGGGGCTTCTCCATATTAGACATTCATTCGGATGGAGGCCTGAAGTGTCACTCGCCTTCGCGTCTCTGATATACCCCATATGCATGCTCGATGCGTTTGCAACCATTGATCACCTTCTTCATAGGAGAAGACACAGAGGGTTAAGAATTTGTTGATGAATGGAACCATTGAAATTATTTTTCTTGCACCACTCTTTCACTTTGCTTGTGTTGACGTAAACATCTTCGGTGTCAGGGTCCTCTTCTAGGACACCCATATACTCCAATGCGAGTAGTGTATCCTCTTTCCGGAATCCCGTGTCATTTCCGAGTTGCAGAAGAGTGACACTATCTTTATGTGCTAAATCAGTAGTTATATGGGAGGCCAACTTTTTGGACCAGAATCGTAGGTAACTGACCTTTCCGTATGGCGAAAGAGGGAACTCAGGACCCAGCCGTGCCATGTTTGGGGTCACCAGCGCGAGCGCATACAGAAATTCGATAAGGAGTTGCCCTAGATGGAGCCTCTGATACGGCGGGAAAACACATATACATGCGAGGTTGTTGTCGGCTTCCCAGGAATTGACTTCTCTGGAGAAGAAGCCCATTGGTTTGAAGTATTTGCGTAGCACCGACCCGGAAATGTCCTCATCTTGGGGATCGAAGCCGTAAAGAATGTAAAAGTCGAAGCAGTCGACGTTGTAGTAGACCGACTTGTCATCGAGGAAGAGCTTGCCAAAAAGCGAGAGATTTTGGCAGAAAAGCTCATGGGTGAACCCTCGAACATGCTTGATGAGGTACGGTGCTTTCGTGTCTGAATAGACCAACCTTCCTAGTGGCGGAAATGGCTTTCGTAGAGGACATAACGTTCTGTGTAAGGTCATTTTGCCCTCGTCTGCGGTGTATTTGAAGCAATGCTCACACACATACAACTTGTCAAGCCAAAGCTGCGAGTCCACTGCGGGTGTTTTTCTTCGTGACGAGCCACTAACATGTATGCTGTCAATGCCTAGCTCTGAGTCTCCAGCGGAGTTGAAATACGCGCCGTTACCGTACCATGTTTTGAACTGATGCTCTCCCAAAACCACCAGTCCGATGTTTGGGGCACTTAGAACGCCATATTCGTCGCTTCTTTTCAGTTTCGGATTATGTGACCCTTTGCTGGAGGACTTCGCTTCCAAGACTGGAGCCTCCACAACATCTACTGTGCTGTCGGCCGGCATCTATCGAGCGTGATGATGGTGTTGATGCGATGGATTGTATACCGCGAAGTATGTAGTGGGTGATGAAGAGCGTGGATGGGGAGCTAGGGATAGCCGATTATGACACCGGTGATATTGCTCGGAAAAAAGAAGTCATTCTCTACGAGTTTGCTTAAGATTGAGCGATTTGTCGTGGTGGAACGTATATCGGTTGCAATTCTGGGATGGCTGCGAAAGAGGTATCAACAGTTTGGTGAGAAGTCGAAAAAGCTTGTGCTCTTGAAGGTATCGTAAGGCGATTTTAAGTAAGGAATGTGCATCTTGTCCTGAAACAAGCGTTTGATGACTCTTTACGATGAAGACCTTTAATCCGAGTGGGGCCTTAGACTTAATGCGGCTGCATTTTACACATACATTTCATCTCAGATAAGCTTGAAAGCTTAAAACGCTGAAAATACGTCTAGATGTTTGCGAAAATTATGCCCCAAGCAGCTCTCCCATCCTGACGCCATCAAGCATGCACAATGCACGAACGCCGTCATCCTGATATACACTGCATGTTCGAAAGAATTCCAAGAATAAGATTGCCATCGAAAACAAATTCTCGACCAAATCTTATATCGTTTGTCAGCCGTGCGTGCTTTTTGCGTCATGCTGGAGGCACAAATCACTCAGGGCATAAGTCACTCATGCGCCGCACAAATCACTCACCAACTATATAAGGAGGTCCGATCCGCCTGAACTTATTCTGTATCAAATTCAAATACATCAGATAATCAAAATGGCTCCAACTTCCAACTGCAAATGTTCCAACTGTACCTGTGCTCAGTGCACCTGCTCCCAGGAGTCCTCTTGCAAGTGCTAGATTAAATAGTTATAAATTTATTGAGTGAAAGACATTGTAGGATATATGTATTTCTCTAACGCTTTGGAATGTAGCCGAGCAAAGCAGATTGCCAAATGATCAATCCAAGAACTAGATAGATAATTCATCTGTCAAGGTGATAGACTCACCATACCTTAGCGAATCAAGTTTCGCAGCCATTCGATATTAGAAGCACAGAGAGAATTCGACAATGGGAGATCCATAGTTGGGAAAATCAGCTTGAATTAGAAAACCTCAAGACCACGTATTCTAGAGTAAGTTCGACTATTCAGAAATTATTTCTTCTAATAAACCTTATAGGTCTTTCGTCTGACGTATACAGGTGTGTCGAACTACCACTCTTGATATCGCGCAACGCGTTTCTCAAGTATCCACAAGTACGATGCCACCAAAGGGTTGGAGAAAAAATGCTGAGGGAAAGTTCCCACAAGGCCACAAGGATAGTGAGTTCGTCTCCATAGACGAGATACTTTTCCCAAAGTCTGTGATTCAAAAGCTTGCCAAAAACATCGTTCAGTCGGACGATGGAAACATGATCATCTCCAAGGACTCTCTAACTGCATTGCAAAGATCTGCCACGGTGTTTGTTTCCCACTTGATGTTTCATGCTAGACATATTGCTAAAAATGCTGACCGTAAAACGGTGAACTCGGCAGATATTTTGCAAGCTTTGGAAAAGGCCGAGCTTATGGGCTTCGTTCCAGAGGTACAGCTGAAATTGGCTGCTTTTGAGCACAACGCAGAGATCAAGAAAAAGCAGAAAGCAGAGGCCAAGGCTGCCGGTGTCGAGAATGACGAAGGCCCTTCGGCCAAAAAGTTAAAGGATAACTCGGAGAACAGTATAAGTGCTGGTAAGAGAGAGCAAGAAGACGACGAGGAGCCAGATAACGAGGAAGATGACGATGATACCGAGGTCAACACTCAGGTCGAGGACGATGACGACGAGAACCCTGAAGATGACGAAGAAGGCGGTGACCAGCGCTCTCAAAATCCAATTGCTTTGCTCAGCAAAGATGACCAGGAACTTGAAGGAGAAAAGAGCGACACAGACCGTGCAGACACTACAGAAGCTCCCGATGATGATGACGAGTAATGTTGACTATAAAAATCAACCTATTTAATGCCTGATGCAGTGGCCGAATAACGGAAACCCGCATTCGAAACCGATGAAGAAGTATAGCAAGAGCACAAATAATGACACACATACGATAACAAACTTGGCGTTGCTGAACCACATTTTTCGCTTGATGGCTTGTGCTTTCCGTTGGAAGACCAGAGAGGACGACGTGAGACGATCTGTTTGGTCCACGAGGGAATTGATTTTATCTCCTCGATTCATGAGCTTGTTGATATTGTCAAGCATCAACAGACGCACCTCCCCCACTTCCTCGTTTGCCAATAAAAGTTGGTTTGGTGTGATTACGTCTCCCCTCGGTGGGCCTGACGCATCGCTATCGTCGTCCCCACGATTGATAGCGCCATAGTTATACATGCGCTGATTCGATTCGTATTGCATCTCCTCAAATTTGATGATTTGCGTCATGTATAACTTGAATTCGCCTGGTTTACTTTTGCTTTGTTGCTCCAGGGCCGACTCGGCATTCTCCGCTGTGGAGCTCATTTCGCTTCGAAACTCGAAATACTTGTCCATAATCTTCTTGAGAATAGATAGAATAAGGGTTTTGTTCACATCATGATGTGCTAAAGTAACGACAGTGACGAGATCATTGCTGCCATCAGGGTTGTGGAGTGTCTTCTTCATGAAGTATATCAAGAGGAAAGTCTTGGTAACTGCCCCGCTAGTGTACACTGGAAACAGGCCTATAAGGGTCTTTGAGGAGTTTATAAGCCCTAGCTCCAGCAGGACTAGCTCAGAGCAGTTCAAGTTATTGACGGAGTGCGCAAGCTTGACATTTTCAGTGGAGTATAGCGTTGACGAATTGAGCGTTAGCGTAGTGAAAATAACTGGTCATTAGTATTTGTTGGGTGTAATTGGATACGGCGTACATACGTTGTTTGTGGATATCCTTGTATGTCATGAGTAGTGGACTTTAAATTTTGTGGAGCTAATGGATTTGTTGATGTGGACTGCAGGAAATGGCAGCGGCGGATGCGCTTAAACGTCCGGAGTTGATCGTAAGCAGCCCCACAGTGGGGAAGTATAAACTAAAAAATTAGCTTCGAACAGAATTCTTGTTTTAGTTGATACAGATTAGTCCTTTAAGTTAATAAAGTAAAACCATACAATGATTCAACCAATGAAGTTTCCTGAGGGCAGTATTGTAGTGTGCGTTTAAGGCTCATTAAGGTTGGGTAACATGTGTTCAAACACTTCTCCAAATAATCAGAGTTGAATAAAGATGTATTTTCTACAGCTTAACCAGCTTTGGAGCTTTATAAATACCCTGGTCACAAGAAGAGACTTCAGACAGTGCAAAAGAGCTCCTGAGTAGGCTGTGCCTATTCCTCATTAGCTCTCGCCAATGGAGCAAGTTATGAATACTATCCACTAAAAGCTTTCTATTCTTCCAATAATTCGAAATTGATGCTCTTGTTTTGTGGAAAGTTCCTTGTCAGACACCATCAATTTGCAACCATTTCGCGAGGGTCTCAAAAAGAGTACGATGTATTCACGTACCACCCCATAGTCGCCCATGAAAAATTTCTCTTGTCGTAGAAAATGAATTTGATGTTATCATAAAGATGGCTAATCTTTCACCATTTTGGGGCCGTTCCCTTCAAAAATTGAATTTTGTGGACGTTCACGTGATCTCATCGGTACTAAAAAATGACGATGGGCTTATCCACAAGATCAGTCGAATCTGAACCAGCATGGGTAAATACAGAAAAAGGTTCAATGAGAAGGCTCGTGCTGGTATGCTTGCAAAGCAAGCTGCCTTAAAGAAAGCAAGACAGAAGCAATTCACTCGTCATCTAGACGATGGCACCGAAGATCCTGATGAGCCAAAAGACCTATTGCATACTGAGAGTAACCCCAATGCCGATATACTTAAGCCTATGACCGATGAGGAAAAAGCTGAAAGGAAAAGAAAGCTTGCAGAGGCCTTATACTCGGAAAATGAAAAAGAAGCAAAGTTGTCTCGAGCAAAGAGAAAGAGACTAGATAAGTACATCGAGCATCAGTTGAAGAGGGAAGAAAAGAAAGCCCTTCTCGAGAAGTTATCTGAAACCAAGATCGACACATCCCATTTAGCTCCATCGAAGCTTCTAGGTAAGGGCAAGCAAACCCGTAAAGAGGAGATGATTGAAGCCATAGACCTTGAGAGACAGGGAAGAGAAGACGATCACACCAAGGAAGTTTTGTATGAAACGCATGAGGCCAAGGACTGGTCTGAACAGCTGGATGAGGAAGACGATGTCAAGGAAGAGGAAGACGAGTTTTCATCCACGGAGTCCAAATCCTCCTTCGTGGACTTCCGGCCTCAGAAGTATGGAGGTTCAGGAATCGGATTCGGATTCTCCAACATCACTAGAATCGAAAGCGACAAGCCGGCCAAGAAAAAGTATACATGGAGACTCAAGGTTGAACAAGAAGAGAAGAAGAGAGCCAAAATTGAAGATGACAACGACTTCGTCAGTAGTGAAGACGAGGAAGCCGAGCTGGACGTCAACAGTAATGAAAATGTTGACGAACTGGATGAGGGATCTGATGATTCGGAGGCTCAAGATTCCGCGGATGATGATGTTGAGATTAAGGATGAATCCGGTGATGAGATTGAGGGTGAAGAGGAAGAGGATGGCTCCGAGAGCTCTGAAGAAGGCAGTGAGGAAGATGACGAAGAAGAGTCTAGTGAAGAAGATGAGAGCGAGCTTCCAAGATTGCTACAAAACAGACCAAAGCATTCCAAGGTGGCTGCTTCTTTCAAGGAATGGGCCGAGGAGCAGGTCAGAAAGCTTGAGGGCAGAACTGAGATGGTTCTTCCAGAACTCAAGAAAGAGACGCTTGACGAATACGGCAAGGGTCTTCATGATGACAAGCCCTTCTCAGATGACGAAAATGCTATTCCGATCGACATGAACCTCAAACGAGAGGCCTTCTATGTCAACGTGAGCCGTCCACTTGAAATCCAGCAGCTGCGTATGCAACTCCCAGTGTTTGGAGAAGAGCACAGAATCATGGAAGCCGTTCACCATCACGATTGCATAGTTTTGTGTGGTGAGACAGGTTCGGGTAAAACAACACAGGTTCCTCAATTCCTTTACGAGGCTGGCTTTGGAAATGTCGAATCAGACCTCTACCCTGGTATGATTGGTGTGACTCAGCCAAGAAGAGTTGCAGCTGTATCTATGGCGAATCGTGTTGGATCGGAGTTGGGAGAAACTCATGGAAAGAGAGTGGGCTACCAAATCAGATTTGACACAACTATCAAAAACGAGGGTAAGCCTGACGGCACAGCTCTCAAATTTATGACTGATGGTGTTCTTTTGAGAGAGATGATGCAAGACTTTCTCCTCACCAAATACTCTGCATTGGTGATTGACGAAGCTCACGAGAGAAACATTAACACGGATATATTGATCGGCATGTTGAGTCGTATCGTCAAGCTCCGAAGGTCACGCAATAAGCCTCTCAAGCTTATTATCATGTCTGCTACATTGAGAGTTTCGGATTTCTCTGAGAACAAGCAGCTCTTCTCTAGCTCGCCTCCCATCATTCAGGTTGATGCTCGTCAGTACCCCGTCTCAGTTCATTTCAACAAGAAAACTCAATTCGACTATTTGGATGAAGCGTTCAGAAAGACCTGCAAGATTCACAAAAGACTTCCACCAGGTGGCATATTGATATTCTTGACCGGTCAAAACGAAATCAACGGTCTTGTCAAGAAGTTGAGAAGTGAGTTTCCCTTCAAAAAGGGTAAGAAACTCTATCCTGACGATAACGGGGTCAGCTATAAGGCTAGCAACAATGTGGTACAGGAAGCGGAAGATGTTGATCTCGACATTGCTTTGAGAGGCAAGAAAGAATTCGATGGATCAGAATCGGACTCTGCAGAGGACAGTGACGAGGAGGAAGGTTTTGACGAGAAACCCGAACCAGGCCAGGCTGAGACGGACCCTCTTTATGTTCTCCCTCTTTACTCTACGCTTCCTACCGCACAGCAGATGAAAGTTTTCCAGGACCCACCAGAGGGAAGTCGAATGTGTATTGTGGCAACTAACGTGGCTGAAACTTCCCTTACTATTCCAGGCATTCGTTATGTTGTTGACTGTGGACGTGCCAAGGAGAGAAAGTATGACGAGGAAAACGGTGTTCAATCGTTTGAAGTCGACTGGGTTTCCAAGGCATCCGCCGACCAGAGAGCTGGTAGAGCAGGAAGAACAGGACCTGGGCATTGTTACAGACTATTCTCCTCTGCTATCTACGAGGAATACTTCCCACAGTTCAGCAAGCCTGAAATTCTCAGAATGCCAGTGGAGAGTACAGTGCTTACAATGAAGAGTATGGGAATCGATCAGATTGTCAACTTTCCGTTCCCAACGCCACCTGATAGAGTCGCATTGAAACAGGCCGAAAAGCTTCTTGTGATATTAGGAGCATTGGACAAGCAGAACAAGACTATCACCGAACTCGGCAAGACCATGTCTTTCTTCCCACTTAGTCCACGGTTTGCAAAGATCCTCATCATTAGCAACCAATTGGAGTGCTTACCTTATGTTATTGCAATTGTGTCCGCTTTATCTGTTGGTGATCCTTTCCTCGAAGAGCACGAGTTGGGATTAGCTAAGGAGGAAAAGCAAGAATCTGACGATGAAATAGAGACACAAGGAGATATTGAAAAGAAAAGGAAATTGAGGGGCAAGTTCCACAAGTCAAGAGCAGTTTTCTCAAAGCTTGATTCTTTTTCAGATGCCTTGAAGCTATTGAGTGCCGTCTGTGCTTTTGATCATGTACCATCGGCAAAGAGGTCGAACTTCCTCAGAGACCAATTCCTCAAACCTAAGGTCATGGAGGAGATCACAAAGCTCAGAAAACAAGTTACTACAATTGTGGCTAATAATACTTCGGCTGATACCATAGCAGAGAAACTCGACAAGCCCACTCAGAAGCTAGGCGTTCCTTCTAAAGAGCAGATCGCTGCAATCAAGCAGTTTATAGCATCTGGATTTGTTGATCAAGTGGCCATTAGAAGTGATGCCATTGATGCTGAAATCAAGTTATCCAAGAAAGCTGCAGTTACTGCTGTTCCTTATACTACCATGGGACACAAATTCGGACCAGAGGTTGACCCATACGTTTACATCCACCCCGTGTCCGTCATTGCATCGTCTGGAAAGACACCTCCACAGTATGTGATCTACCAACTGCTCAATATGAGTAGCAATACTACTGAAGGCAAGGTTACGAAGTTAAAGTTGAAGGCATTGGTTGACATTTCAGGCAAGCAATTGGCCAATGTTGCGAAGGCTTCCTCGCTCATCACCTATTCGAAACCGCTTGGCCATCCATACGGTCCTAAGAACATAACTGCCAGTAAGCGTGAATGTTACGTGGTTCCTAGGTATGGTGCTGCCATTGGTGATGGTGGTATTGGGTGGGATTTGCCGGTTATCAAAGTCACTCAAACTAAGAAGCATGGTCTGTGGATGACCGACTAAACATTCACGTGTACATTATAAGCACAATATAATCTGCATTCAGGTAATCATACTCAGTAGTTGGAAGATCGCTCCTACAAGTATAGCTCGCAACAGATGAGCATGCTGAAGAGGAAGTAGTAAAACAACATTCCATCAAAAAATTATACATCGCTTTAAGACTTAAGTTTATGATTTCATTCGAAATAATCCATCTAGTTTCCTTAATATGTTTGGCGTGTCTATTGTGGGTGCTGCTTGAGTTGCAACCATTGTGTGCATCACCTTTTTGTTTACCTTTTTCGAGCATCAACAACTTACACAACTAGAGATGGCTGGACGGCAGAGGGATGAGCGGCCCAAAAAAGCCAATCAAGATTTCGAAGATGACTCTCTATTAATCCCAGAAAACGTCATAGACCAAGCATCCCAGAGACTATTTCTTGTCTCCATCTTCGTGCTCATCCAATGCTGGAAAATCTACGACATACTATTAATCAAGGCGGACTCATTCTCCGCCCATATGGCATTGGATAGTGGAAGTACAGCACATGAACTGTTCACGTCCCTCAATAACTTCACCTTTGTGTTGAAGTATGCAATAATAGATGGGTTCTTCCTATGGATGCTACCGGTGCTCAATGTGCCATTGCTAAGGTTTCTGCCCTTGGTGACACTACTACTGACCATTGTGGCCACTGCATTCACTTTTATGTTGGCCAGTGATTCAGCAATTCCCGTTCTTTCGGGGGCATTTGTACCATTGTGGAATCTTGTCTTCCGCAACAAAGAGCTCACTATAGTCGGTGATTCAGTGAATCCACAGGCTGTCAGCGACATGAATGAACATTTCAAGGGTAGTTATACCATTCGCTTCCTCCCTGAACTGTCGGTGCGTCTCAATCCATTCCATTACGATCAGCTATGCTTGGAGGCCTCATCCAATGCCTATTCCACATTCCCTGCTTCCATTGATCTTCCAATTGAATTCAACACCACAACTGATATTGGATTCATGCAGATTCAGCATACGTCTCCCTCAAAAGAGGTTACGTATCTTGAATATTCGGCTAGAGATGTCAACAAACTACTACGCAGAGATTACTCTCACCTCTCCAGCTATCCAGGCTACATTTCCAAGGATGAGCGAGTATTCTACTTGGAAATCAATATCAAGAAACCTGGAACCTACAAGATATCTAGAGTTACGGACAAGGAGGGGGCAGTTATCCGGTCATACAAATCCGAGTTCTCAGTTGCACATTGTCCAACATCCAAGTTCGTTTATCCTGGCCTTGATCTGGCATACTCTCAGACTAATTGTATTGGTGAAAACCCGGGCGAGATTGAATGGCCATTGCCGCTAGTTGAATCCTACGGAGTGCTTCCATTACAAATTCAAATGGCTGCAGAAATCAACGGTAGGCACATAAGCACATTCAATGCCACTGTCACTGAGAGTACTACTGACAAAGGGAAGACTATTACCAATGCCGTCAAATTGACAAGAAATGCCCTTGAGCAAGAAGTCCTCAAGCATCCCCAATCATTCATCAAAGGTGCACCAGGCTCTGTCAAGTTTCATCTCTTGGGAGTGACTGACTACTTGGGGAACAGCAGAAAATACAATCCATCATCATCAGACAAGGATGTATTGTATTCTCTCAACCTCAACAGATCTCCCAAAGTTCACTTGATTGATCGCTTTCCAACCAAGCCTTTATTGGTGAATTCAACGAAGCGCATATACTTCGAAGCTGAAAATGATGTATCCTACCCATTGACGCTTTTGGTACAGCATCAATCCCAGAGAGCAGGTGGTACAGTTGTAAACAAGACTCACACGTTTACTGATGCAGCGGACTTCCGTAAGGGTATCGAGATACTGGACTCTGGGTCCTACAGACTCATAGATGGATTCGATAAAGCTTGTCCGTGTGATGTGGTTGCAGAGCCACTCGTCGTGACGACTCCAGATCCTCCTAGAGTACAGATTGCTGGAAACCCAATTACGGATAAGTGTGTTGGTGATATTGGTCTTGAATTTGATGTCAAGTTCAGCGGAAAGGCACCATTCAAGTTGATGTATCAGGTTTTCAAGAATGAGACTGGTAGACTCAAGCCAGTCCTCAATGACAGAGGATTGGCGACGCATACCAAAACTACTTCCGATGAAAAACTCAAATTCCAGTATCAGCCGAAGAGGGAAGGAAGTTATGTCGTGGTTTTCAAGGAATTGAAAGACGCATACTATCAACTGCCGGCAATCCCTATCGATGAAAAGGCCAACACGTTCACCATCTACTCCAGACAACGCTCGGCACTTTCCTTATTGTCTGATTCGGTCTCCAAAGAAATACATCTCTGTAAGGGAGAAAGCGCCAAAATCCCATTATCGTTCAGTGGTAATTCTCCATTCTCATTTGGTTATCAAATCATTGACAAGGTTACTAAAAAGGTTGTGAGTCAAGACCAGATCTCCAGTCTAAGCGCCGAGACTTTCGAGATTGTGACGCCAAACTTTGAGAAGGGCGGCGAATTTGAAGTGAATCTCCTCAACGTCAAAGATTCGCTAGATTGCCCCGTTGAAATTCTAGGCCGAGGCACAGTAACGATTAAAGCTAGACAACATATTCCAGAGGTCCAAATCACCCGCGATGAAACATTCCAGATCGTGGAGGGTGACTCTGTCCAAATTCCGTTCAGTTACAGGCATACATCGAGTTCTCCCGCTAAGAAGCTTGAGTTGGCTGTTCAAAACCTATATGATGCCAATGATATCAAAAATATCTCCATCAGTGCTAGAGACACTATAACGGTCAAGGAGGAGGGAATTTACAGGATAAACTCTTTCAAGGACGAGAAATGCCCCGGTCTTGTTAAAAATACAAAGTCCTCGGTGAAAGTCACATACTATCCGAAGCCAAACCTCACATTTACTACCGACGAAGACAATCTTCTCAAGCAGCATTTTGATGGTGAGAATTCACTCCATTTGAAACTGGTTTGTCAGAACGGTAACTTGGCTATCAAGCCTCAAATCGAGGGTTCCGGACCTTTTGAAGCCAAGCACAGGATAAAGTACCCTGACGGTAAAGTCCTCAGTGGTGTTGTTCCAATGCTGAAGGAGGTTATCAATTTACCCACTGATCAAGAAGGCAATTATGAGCACGCATTCACCGAAGTGTATGACCGTCTTTACACGGAACGTGTATTATCCAAACTTGATTATCACCAAACTCCATCGACAATTCGCTACTCCGTGCTCCCTAACCCATCTCTCAAGATTGGAAAAGACCTGCTGCATATCCAGATCTGCGAGTCCAAGGTTAAGAATGTGGATCAGATTTCTATTACTCTTCCAGTTGAATTCAAGGGCACGGCACCTTTTTCTGTCAGTGGCTCCATCAGACACACTAACACTGACAAGTTCGAGAAGTTTGAGATAAACGACATTGTTGACAACTATGTTGACCTTGGAAAAGTCAAGTTTAACGGTGCAAAATTGGCAGATATTCTCACTATTGGGGATCATCTTGTCATCTTTGACAGTGTCTCTGATGGTAATACCTGCAAGAATGTCAACATTCGTTCGCAAAACTCAGTTGCAATTTCAGTGACGAAGGTACCCGAGATCAGAAAGGAGAGTCTTAAACCATATTACTGTGTTGGTGACCACGTCTTGTATAAATTACAGGGAATCTCGCCGTTTGTGGTTTATTATAGTTTCAATGATCAGAGCAGAAAAGCCGAGGTGGGTCATGACTTCCAGAGGTTGGCAGCAAAACCTGGAGAGCTTTCGATTGTTGCTTTACAGGACGCTTCAGTCAGCCGTTGTTTGGTGAACTACACGAAAATTCCCGACAAATATGAGGAGCTCAAGTTGCAAATTTATGCTCTTCCATCCGTCGAAATCAGTCACGGTGGTGTTATTATTGAAAAGTTGCATGAAGGAGATCAAGCTGAAATATCCTTCAAGTTCACCGGAGTTCCTCCGTTTGAGGTTACCTATGTGAGAACTGTTGGTGATGACGTGGGGGCCCACAAGAGAAGGGGCGGTCCCAAAAAGCCTGGTAAGCGCAGAAAGGTGGTGGATACCAAGACTATCAAGGGCATCTGGGATTATGAGCATACCGAGATCGTCAGTCTAGAAGGTACCTATGACGCCATCCGTGTCAAGGATGCCTACTGCCAGGCCGTTAGAGATGTCGAAGAACTTCTCTAGTGTATAATAGAATGTATGCTCTAACGTTTCGTCAATTTGTCGATGACCTCAGCTGCTTTTTTCTGGTCCACCATGCTCCGGGCATCTTGAAGGAGGGTGGATGTCTTTTTGTCTTTCACTGGTGATTTCTCCGCCTGCTCTACATACAAATTCTGGATTTGTTGGGCAAGCTTTAGGTCTTTTCGAGTAACCTGGTTTCCAGCATCGTGGGTTGTGATACTGAGATTCACTTTGTTGTAGGTAGTTGTGATTGTGGGATGATGCTTTTGGCTGTGAGCTAATTGAGCAACGCCATTGAGGAATTTCCACGTTTTGGCGAAATTTCTGAACTTATAGTTACTTTCTAGCACAGATTCTTCACCCACAGAGCCAGACTTCGCTATGAGTTCCCATGACCCAACAGGCTCCAGTTTGTTGATGGATTTCAAATGCTCTGAGATATGAAGGTTATCCAATGCCTTCTGTAACGTTCTTGCCGTTGGTCTCATGATATCCAGTAAGCGTAAGTAGTAGGTGTATCGGCCCGGTTGGAGATGCAGGTTTCCCATAGTTTAGCACCGAGACTCACATTCAACTCCAACAATAAACTACAGGCTTCACCGGGTGATTATAGATGGTCTCGGCGGTATTCATACTCCATTGGCCAGACTCAGATGTGGAGTACCTGCGGTGTGAACTCCTATTGCATAGAATCTACTACAATGATATATACGATCCCCATGCTGTGGTCCAACGGTTCCACCAACTTTATACCAGAATGCAACCTGAAGAGAGGACGCCGTTCATCTTCGATTTTGACATGACCTATATGTTCTTGTGGGGTGAAAACGACCTTATTATCATGGCCGCAGCTCGGGCAAACGTCAATGCCCTACTGACCGTTACGTTTTTGCATGAGCTACATGAGATCCTAGTCCGTTATTTCGAGGTTCTGAAAAGACAAGATCTGGAGGGCAAAAACGGAACTCAATATGAAGATGATGGCTTAACCCGAGAGAAGATTGTGGATAACCACTCGCTCGTGTACGAGCTACTAGATGAGTGCATGGACTTCGGCATAGTGCAACTCACGGACTACAATATCTTGAAGGAGTACATCAAGACTCAGATCAATCGACCACAAAGTGGCGATTATGAACACGGCTCAGACCTGGAATCGAGCTCAGATGACGAATTCAGGGTCAAGCGACGCTCCGCCAAAACCGAACATAAGACCAAGAAGAACAAAAAAGAGCACAAGTCGACGCATAATCTCGCTGACAAGACTGATATCCTCAATAACACACAAGCCAATTTCATCAACAGCTCAATTGTGCGTACCCAGGCGCTGGCTATTAGTTGGCGACCCAAGGGCATATTCTACGCCAAGAACGAGATCTACATTGACATCATTGAGAGATGCAATTTCCTTTTTGATCTTGAGACCAACTCCGTGAAAAATAATGACATATCAGGTGTTTGCGAAGTCAAATCGTATCTATCGGGAATGCCAGTGTGTCGACTTGGTCTCAATGAGCGTTACATATCTCAGGTTGAGTACGATGCTGAACTCGAAGGCGGCGAGGAGGAGGAAGAGGAGCAACGACATGAGACACCTGAACAAGAAGAGAATCTCATACAGCCCTCGGAAAGCGTCGATAACCTCGACACTGACTCCATTTCCTCCACAAGATCAGACCCTAAACCCGAGAAGCGACTCAAGGTACCCATCTCCAATGTTTCGTTCCACCAATGCATTGAGCTCTCTTCAGTTTACAAAAACAACCTCATTCATTTCACTCCTCCGGACGACAAATTCACTCTTTTTTCATACAATGTCGCCCAGCTGAGGAGAAAAGAAAAAAAGCCGCTCGTGATGATCGAGCCCATTTTTAAAATCATCAAATCAGAGGGAAAACTCCAAATTCTATGCTCCCTCAAAACATCATACAAGAAAAGATTGCACTGCAAGCCGCTAATCGTCCGAATTCCTATCTCACCAAACCTATTTCACTTGGACGGCAAAGGTGATGGTAACCTTCGATACAAAGCTGAACTCGGAGAAGCACTGTTTGAAGTCGACTCCTCTACATTAACATGGACACTTCCTGACGTTCCTGGGTCTAAACTGGTCGTGCGGCTCATGGCTGAATTCGCCATCGAAAATGCCCAGGACCTCGAACAAAGCGATTTCACAACTGCATTCTACCTGCTTTCAAAAGCCCCTGATGCAGAGGTCCGAGAGGAAACTACTGCCGATGAACTCAACAAGTACTACGGCGTTGGGGGGAAATCATCATCTGTTTTCAATGACTTACAAAAGAATGCCAGAAATTCCAACAAATATCGGGATATTCACATCGAGTTTTCTTTACCCCTCTTGACTTACTCGGGCCTTCGAATCACTTATCTCAGTGTTCAGGAAGACACTCTTAAGTATACGTGCTTCCCGTGGGTCCGGTATCTTACGGAGGTGCGTTCAAGCTTATCAAAATATCGCGGCACCCAGCATAGCGAATACCGCTTTAGACTATCGCCCAAATGCTTCGAGATTATTTCTTAAAAATGGCAGCAAATTCATTAAGGGTCACTTAAGAGGATTTCTCATCTCTAAATGACTGTACCATTTGATCATAAGCAGTATGTCTGACCCCTCCCACTAGTTTTGTGACCTTATCGCGGATCTCATTTCCGCATATGGATGCGGCCTATCGCTCGGGTTATCTCTCGCTGTCAGACTGTTATCGCACATTCTATTAAAAAAGAGATGTGAAATCCGGGGTTGCTTATTTGTGCGAATCTGGTGCAATCTTCCCACTCTCTAAATATGGTAGCCAAAGTGGATACTGTTGGTACTGGTTCAGATCCGAAGCCCATAGTGGAGAACGCCAAACCAGTTAAGAAGGGACAGACAAAGTCCCGTAATGGCTGCATCACCTGCAAGCAGCGAAGAACGAAATGTGACGAGACAAAACCCACCTGCTTGAAATGTGCCAAAAAGAATATCGAATGCGGAGGGTACCCGTCCAGCTACAGATGGGTCAACCCAGAGTTCCCACCTGCTGCACCATCCAAAAGACGACAGTCACTGTCTGTCTTGCCAAAAATGACGCCTCGATCAAATGAAGAGCAGTTTAAAGCAGCTCTAGAAAATGCTGCCATGTCTGTGGTTGGCAAGTCTCTCAAAGACCTAGAAGCTGAAAAATCTCACAGACAGCCCGCCGTGAAGAAATTGCGTCGCAGCTGGAGTCTATCGGATGTCGATAATGACGAGGGCGCTAATCAAGAAAAACCTCACAGTAGCCTTGTCGAGTTCAGATCTCGGATCAAGAGTGATTGTCCACCTAGTAGGACCATCCCCGAGGAACCCAGCACAGAGCTACAGAGCTTACCAATGGTACCAAGCTCTTCTGATCAAATGTCTTCTGTTATCTCAGAATCCGTGGTAGACGATTCGTCTCCGTCCGTTGGTGAAACACCATTCAATAGAGAATCCATGGCTGACCTCAATTTGACACCATCACTTTCAGCCCTTATGCATCAAATATTTGACCCATCCGTGGGAAAGCCTGGTCTAGGCGAACCTTATGCCGATCCATCTTTTAGCCCGTTGGAGCTCAGTGTCCCTCAAATGGACGAAATATCCTTGATGAAGTCGGAATCAATTTCCAAACACCCAGATAGTTTTCGTCAGAACACTGGATTGACCCTTTCCGATCAGAGTTTGACTCATACTTCCGAGCAGGAGCACATCCTTGGCTTGTACGCAAATCATACCTCAGGAATTCTCTCCATCAAATGTGGGCAGAACGAGAATCCTTGGAACATCTTGTATGTGCCTTTAGCCAGGGAATACAGTTTCGTATTCAATTCGATCGCATCGATGACACTTTTTCATCTCGCTGGAAACGCAAAAGTGCCATCGGAACGTGGTAACTTACGCTCTAAAGGGTGCTTTTATATGAAGAAGTGTATCCTCGAACTTGCAGCGGGACTTAAAAGTGTTGAGGAGGATGCTGACGAATCATCTTTGCCACCTGATGTTGCTTTGATGACTTGCCTCAACTTGGCGATTAGTGAATCATGGGATACTCATACCTCAAGCGGAATAGCCCATCTCAAAGGTGCTAGAAGTTTGATCCACAAGGTTTTGTCAGTCATAAAAGACTATATGGGTAGACGTGAGGCACTGCCAGCCGCTAGTCCAGCTGATGCTCAAATTCGGAAAAAGCTCAAGCTTGTGGATGATCACGATTGGAAACACATCGAAGAGGGTTGTCTGTCGTTGCGTGAAAATAATAATCAACAGCCTGACTTCATCGTCCCGAAAAATCTTCAGTTGATTTTCAACAAGTGGATTTACCTTCATGTTCTTTCACAGATGACAGTACAATCTGGGCAAGATGAGAGGGGCATTGATCTCGTTGCCACTATCACTACCATCATTCATTCTACTCACAAAAAGAAGATAAAGCAAGAACAAGATCTGATGTTGGAAAAGAAGGATTCGCCCACGCATTCTGAGACTGAGCTGAACTCCAGCGGTAATTTTGGAGGCTTCTTCGAGGACTTCAACTGCTCATTTCTGAACAGTGATCTTATTGATCCCTTACTTGGGTGTGCACAGTCTCTCTTTCTGATCATGGGCAAGGTTGCTAGCTTGATTTCACAGGTAAGAAAAGAGAAAGAGAGACTGCCAAAGACAATCCGTAATTCCCTCAACAACATCGGCAGAGCCTCTGAGCTAAGACAAAAGCTTTTAGCATGGAAGCCAGAAGTTTCCACCAGTGGATTTGCAGGGCATACCGGTGCTGGTGGTGAATCGTGGGATGTCCACTCGTGCATCACCACGGCAGAAGCATACAGAACAGCTACCCTTTTGTATTTACACCAAGCTGTTCCCGAGATCCCTCTGCTGCCATCACATCAACTCGCTGAGAAGATCTTTGTGCTTCTTGCTACAGTCCCTACCTCCTCGAACCTCCACATTATCCACATTTTTCCCTTGCTTGTGAGCTCTTGTGAGGCTATGCCTGGCGAAGAACGCCGTTGGTGCGAGAGCCGCTGGGCTTTTCTCTCAGAGCGCCTCTGGATCGGAAATGTCGACCGTGCTTTCGAAGTTGTGAAGGAAGTCTGGAGAAGAAAAGATGAAAATACAAGAAAGAAAAGAAGAGAGTTGGAGGAGTCCACCATCACCGTGCAGCGAGTTTGTGACGATCTGCACCGGCTTGCCTCCGAAATAAACGGGCTTATGGCTGCGCTGCTTGATTCAGATGCAGAACAAGGCATCTGTAGTCGGACCCACTGGAATCTGGTGATGAAGGAATGGGAGTGGGAGGTGTTCCTTGGTTAAATATAACTTATCTACCGGCGCAACGGAAATGGCTGCGAAAAACCCAATCTGTAGTACGCAATCGCCTGCACAATATCACCTACCTCTACAGCCTTCTGACTCTTTCTTGCCATATCCATCTGCCATGTTTCGTGCAATCTATAGAAGAATGAGTACCCGTGGCAGTCTGCTAATTTCTGATCCTTTGAGACCAGATCGAATTACAAAGTCTCAGGCAGACAGCCTGTTTCCTAAACCCAGGTTTGTCTCTTTTGATCTCTGGGGTACACTTTACACGCCCAGACGTCTGATTCCTGAACTGTACCATGAGATTTCAAGCAAGGAGTTCAACATTGAGAAGTCCTTGGATAGCATCAAAGAGGAATTCCCAACGTTGCACAATCAAATGCTCGAGGAGTTCCCCAATTATGGCAAATACAGCGATGAGATCGAAAACAGCAACGACTGGTGGCTGGAGCTTATCGTGAAGCTATATGGACTTCCGCACTTCTCCAAAGATGAAAAGTCGGCTCAATTGTGTAACAGGCTTTTGGATTACTTTTCGTCCGCCGAAGCCTACAAGTTGTATGATGATGTCAAGCCAGTGCTTGAGAAACTTAGCAAGAACAATGTCCGGTTGATTGCTGCGAGCAACTCTGACGACCGGTGTTTCCCTATCATGAAGGCGCTAGGAATTGACAAGTACTTTGCCACTCCACACGTCTACATCTCGTACGATTTGGGCACCGAGAAGCCCGAAAGAGCCTTTTTCCGTTCCATTGCTTCGGAGCTCTACAACATAGACAAGGCCAAAGAGCCAAAACTCGGCATGCAAGAGTTTTTAGAGAACCTGTGGCATATTGGCGACAGCTATGAGAAGGACTTTGTGGGAGCTGTGAAAGGTGGCTGGAACGGTGTGCTTGTGGACAGAGCAAGAACCAGTGTATTCTTCAGAAATGGGCCTCAGCAGAAGCAGGTTAGCAACGATTGCTTTGAGGCTCAGGCTACGGAGACCTTGGATAGCGATGATTTGGTGATGGTGGCTAACAACAGAGTTGCGGTGAGCTCTTTGTATGAGATCCCCAGGCTTTTTCAGCTAGACTGATTCGATGGAAGATGATGACATTCTTCATGATTCCGTTCGTTGATACCTAGAGCCAACCCATTTTCTAATGACCAAATTCAACATTTTTAAAGTGTGTTTACGCTCACCTGCACTGACGGGACTATGCCTTGGCTATGATCTACCTCTCTTGATAATGGCTGCGAACCTTTAAGGCTACTTCCCAAGACAATCGCCCTATACCATTCCCGCGAGCCCAAATCTCCAAAAGAATCCCAAGTATCACATATCTAAATCAGCAACAACCATCCCAAGAATTAAAGGTACCTCTTTTTCGTAGTCTTGTCGCCTTGGCATCACCGTGGGCTGTGTGGAGGGACCTGCATCGCTGCCCCAGCATAGCCAAAGTACGTCGCGCTATCAACTATTTTTACCTGATCCACCCATCTTTCCCAGTAGCAGAACATGAAGTGGTGGCTTTTCCCCTTCCTGCTTTTCCTGGCCGTCTGGGCCATGGAGCTCGATCCAGACAGTTTCGACAGTGTCTGTGAAGTGGCCCAAAATGTCGTGCAAGGTCAAATTAACTACTACGAAGGTCTCTCGTACGGTGGTACCGTTGGTGAGTTCGTTGCGCCTTACTACTGGTGGCACGCCGGAGAAGTGTTTGGCGGTTGGGTTGACTACTGGCACTTCTGTAAGCCTGACAACGAGACTTTTGAGAAGATCTTGTCTGATGCCATGTTGCACCAGGCGGGGTCCAAATGGGACTACATGCCCAGCAACCAGAGTATGACTGAGGGTAACGATGACCAGGGTATCTGGGGTTTGGCGCTTTTGCAAGCTGCCGAGAGAAACTTCACCGACCACGAGGACCACTCCTGGTTGTCGTTGGCTCAGTCCATTTACAACCAGATGGTGTCCAGATGGGACGACTCTACATGTAACGGAGGTTTGAGATGGCAGATTTTCACCTGGAACTCCGGTTACAACTACAAGAACTCTATCAGTAACGGTTGTTTCTTCCACATTGCCGCTCGTTTGTACCGTTACACTGACGATGAGAGATACCTTGAGCAGGCAGAGAAGATCTGGGACTGGATGTGGGGCGTTGGTTTCATGAAGTACAAGCAAGAAAGTGGTGACTTTATCATCTACGATGGTGCCGATGACCAGACTAACTGTACTGACTTGACTGTCCACAGATGGTCCTATATCTACGGTGTGTTCCTTGGTGGTTGTGCTTACCTCTACAACTCCACTGGTGATGACGTTTGGAAGGAAAGAGTGGACGAAATTTTGGTGGCCACTGAGGACTACTTTTACAACAACTCCATCTTAACTGAGAAGACATGTGCCCCATGGGGCATGTGTAACACTGACCAGCGTTTCTTCCTCGCTCTTCTCACAAGAAACATGGGTTTGACTGCTACTTTGATCCCATCGATGCACGACCACATCAGAGACGACATGTTGAAGAAGAGTGCTGTCGCTGCCGCGCAGTCGTGTTCTGGTGGATCAGACGGTGTTACTTGTGGCCAGAACTGGAACTACAACGGCTGGGACGGTAAGTATGGTTTGGGTGAACAAACCAACGCTTTGGAAACAATCTTGACAATGATCACTACAGAACACGTTCCATACACAGCGGACACAGGAGGACTGTCAAAATCGGTCCCGGACGCCGGCAATCATTCCACCACATCGGTGAACAATAACGTTTTCGATGTGGAGACCAAAGATAGAGCTGGAGCGGCCGTGTTGACGGCCGTGGTGTTGGGTTTGACGTTGTCCGGAGGTGTTTGGATGTTATTTTAAATTCCAGCTAGCATTTATGTATTCATGACAAAAAGATTCGGTAGTACCTCGGTGGGTGTAGGAGCAATCTGCTAGTGTCTCACTCGCATCGCGCTATATCGCAACCACATAGAATTCCACCTCCACATCAAAAATGGTGTTATCGCAAGTTATCAACCAGCTAGCGAATCCAAATACGTATAGCAATAGAAGACGACGTCTCTATATTCCTCCGTCCACGAATTATCCCCTCTTCTCATATGGCGGAGGTGATGACCAGAGATCGTTCCTATCGCTAGATGAGCTGAGTTCGTTTTTCATGGGTCAGGATGACGGGAGTGACGTTGCATCTATCAGCTCATCCCGATCCCTTCCGTCTACCCTAAGCTCATTGCCTACATCGGAGGATCAGGAGTCCTTCCATTCCTGGCTTCAAGAAGAGCACGCTAGAAGATACTCAGCTATAAACGACAATGAGTCCCAGGACCGCCGGTCTTATGGCTCCCGTCTGTCTAGACCGTCAACAAAAACAGGAGGTGCTTTAGTCGGGATCGAAGATTTTGGAAGACTAAGAACCACGAATTCCCGAGAGGGCCGGATGCTTCTCAGGTACTCGCTTCCACTTATAGTGACATTCGTTCTCGAGCACTTCTTCTCCATTGTTTGCTTACTTGTGGTGGGCCACTTGGGTAAGAATGAGCTTGCAGCGGTGTCTCTAGGCTCCATGACATCCACCATCTCGTTGGCTATCTTTGAGGGCATTGCAACTGCCTTAGATACGTTATGTCCTCAGGCTTATGGCGCAGGAAATTTGGAGATGGTCTCCGTTCATGTCCAACGGTGCATGATGTTCTCCATGCTCATCTTTATTCCTGTTGCATTGTTCTGGTGGAATTCTCATTACCTATTGCGTTATGTGATCCAGGAGCAGCAGGTACTCGAGCTCACCACATTATTCCTCCGTATCTTTATTCTTGGAGGACCCCCATACATCTTTTTCGAATGTTTCAAACGTTTCTTGCAAGCTCAAGGCATCTTTGAGGCTGGTACTGGAGTTTTGTTCGTCAGTGCACCTCTCAATATTGCCCTTTCGTGGTTCCTTGTCTGGAACAAGACTTACGGCATTGGCTATGCCGGCGCTCCAATCGCTACTGTCATCAACTTCTGGGTGATGGACATTTTGCTCGTCATGTACACTATCTTTATCGACGGAAAGCAATGCTGGAATGGGTTCTGTTCAATCACCGACCTCTTCCGTAAATGGGGTCAGTTATCGCATTTGGCTATCCCGGGTATAGTCATGCTTGAGTCCGAATACGTCGCATACGAAATCATGACCCTTTTTGCCCTGTACTTCGGCACTGTCGAATTGGCGGCGCAGAGTGCCGTGGGGTCGATAGCCTCTCTCACTTACATGGTTCCATTTGCCGTGAGCATTGCTGCGTCAACTCGTATTGCTAACTTTATTGGCGGCCAGAACATTTTCTCCGCCAAAAAGGCAACAAACACAAGTCTCGTATTGGGATTGGTCGTCGCCTGCCTAAATGGTCTCGTACTCTGGAGTGCAAAGGGATTTATCGCAGGCCTTTTCACGAAGGATGAAGAGGTTGTGGAGCTTATCAAGCGGCTTTTGAACCCGCTTGTATCGGTGTTGCAAATCTTTGACGGTGTCGCTTCAGTGGCAAGCGGTGTGCTCCGGGCTCAAGGTCAACAAAAAATTGGTGGTGTTATCAACTTTCTTTCATACTACGCATTCGGCTTGCCATTGGCGCTTGTGCTTTGCAAGACCCTTGATCTCAAGCTTTTTGGCTTGTGGATAGGTATTGGCAGCGGCATGGTGCTTATCAGTTTTAGCGAAACTATATTCATCCTCTCATGTGACTGGGAGGCTATCATGATGAAAGCTGGTCTCATGATAGAAACAGACTCTGATTCAGATATGTAAAGACGAGATCTATCGCCATCCATTGCTTATCTCGAATCTTGATTCAACTTGTCGCGAGTCCATATACTACAAGCGACCAGGTCAGCCTTTTTGAGATTCACAGATAGACTGTGCGCTTAATTTTCATTGCATCCGCCAATAGCGTCCCCGCCTGAAAAAAATTACATTTTCCACTGCTACGGTTCGTGCCAATATTTAAGCGATGTGACTTCACCTTCCCCATTCGGTGCGCAGATCCTGTGCGCCCGATTGATTCAATCGGTATGTACCGTCTCAGCATTATCTTATCTTTGACACTTATCTCAGCGCCGACTAGGCGGTCCTACGTCAAAAGATGACTACTATAATAAGGCGGCCCTTTCAGCCGTCGCTCTAATACTCTTTCTTTTTATTCAAAAAAGTCCTCGAAGCAAAGATGTCGATCTCAACCGACGATACCAAAAAGAATAATGTCTTTACGAAAATAAATCGTCTGTCATCCAGGACGCTGTCTGTTGGAGTCGGTGATATTCATGAGATCATCTCACCACTGCAAGGTAAAGGTCTCAAATATGAAGAGGCCCGTGCCAATTTGGCTTTTGTAGAAGAGACTGGTTACAAGCCAGAGTTGAGAAGAAACTTTTCTACGCTAGCTTTGTTGGGATGTGGTTTTGGCCTCACGAATTCTTGGTGTGGTATTTCGGGATCTTTAGTGACTGGTATCTCTTCAGGCGGTCCCATGATGATTGTCTACGGTATCTTGATTATTACTTGCGTTTCCATGTGTGTGGCTGTGACGCTATCGGAGCTTGCTAGTGCTATGCCAAATGCTGGTGGTCAGTATTACTGGACGATGAAGTTGGCTCCCAGAAAATATGCACCTATGGCTTCATACATGTGTGGTGCTTTTGCTTGGGCTGGTTCCGTGTTCACAAGTGCCTCTGTCACCATCACGCTAGCATCTGCTATTGTGGGTACCTATTATCTTGGTGCTGGCAAAACAGAAGCACCTCCAAGATGGACTGTTTTCATCACTTACGAGATCTTAAACTTTTTGATGATTTTCTTCAACTTGTACGAAAAACCTCTCCCGATGATCTCACAGATGGCTTTGTACGTCTCGTTGGTTTCTTTCGTGGTCATCACGATAGTTGTTCTCGCAAAAAGTTCTGGACACTATCAAAATGCAAAGTTTGTTTTCGTTGAGTTCAGTAATGGTACAGGCTGGTCCTCTTCCGGTATTGCGTTCATCGTGGGTTTGATCAACCCAAATTGGTCCTTCAGTTGTCTTGATGCAGCTACGCACTTGGCAGAAGAAACCCTCTCTCCCGAAACTGATATTCCAAAAGCCATCGTTGGCACTGTTATCATTGGCTTTCTCACCTCGTTCATTTATGTGATCTCGATGTTCTTCTCCATCAGAAACCTCCAGGAAATTCTCGACTCCAACACCGGTGTGCCAATTTTGGACATTTTTTACCAGGCATTGGGAAGTCGTGGTGGTGCCATCGTCTTGGTGTGCTTTTTCCTCCTTACCCTCGTTGGATGCAACATTGCATCTCACACTTGGCAAGCTAGATTGGGCTGGTCGTTCGCCAGAGACAATGGATTGCCAGGTTCCCGTTACTGGTCAAAGGTGTCGAGAACAGGTGTTCCAGTGAACGTTCATCTCATGTCTTGCGGCTGGTGTGCCATCATTGGTTGCATTTACATGGCATCCACCACCGCTTATAATGCAGTTGTCATCGGCTGTATTTCCTTCCTTTTGATTTCCTACTCAATTCCTGTTGTGTTTATGTTGCACAAGGGCAGAAACAATATCAAGCATGGTCCTTTCTGGCTCGGCAAATTTGGACTCGTCTGCAACGTTGTCGTCGTTTCATGGACTGTCTTTGCGGTGGTGTTCTACAGTCTCCCTCCTGAAATGCCTGTCACAGCAGGCAACATGAACTATGTGTGTGCTGTTATTGTTGCTTACACGTTGTATACCATCATTTACTGGTTTGCTCGTGGTAAGAAGAAGTTCACGACTATCGAGGAGAGAGAAGAAATGATCCCACAGTTGACGCAAATCGTCTCTCAGGAATTGATCGACGCGGAGTACGCAAAAATGGAGATGTAAATATAATATTTTTGGGCATTTAATTATCTAGGTACAGACAAGTCTATGTAGGCTGTGTTCGTCTATTTCTTTGAAGCTCTTCTGGTCTTGATGGCATCAGCCAACGTCTGCAACAAGGATTCCGTATCGCCGAAACCAATGCAGGCATCGGTGATGGAGCAACCGTATTTCAAAGCGTCCTTTCCACCTTGCTCGGCTGGTGGCACATCTTGTCTGCCCTCAACAATGTTGGACTCAACCATCAAACCACAAATCTGGTCCTCACCCTCAGAAATCTGTCTAGCCACTTCAGCGGCCACAAGGGGCTGGTTTTTGTGGTTCTTGTTGGAGTTACCGTGTGAACAGTCAACCATGATTCTGGCAGTAGGACTGTCTGGGTTCACGACCTTGGCCTTGGCCAAAGCGTCTTTCGTCTCCTGGACGGACTTGGCATCGTAATTCGTGCCCTGTTTACCACCTCTCAAGATAACGAAGCAATCTTTGTTACCTTCGGTGCCCACGATCAGAACGATACCTGGTTTCGTAACGCTCAAGAAGTGGTGTGGATGCGAAGCAGCTCTCAAGGCATCAATGGCAACGCCGAGAGTACCGTCAGTACCATTTTTGAATCCAACAGGGAATGATAAACCGGAAGCCAATTCTCTGTGCAACTGCGACTCGGTGGTTCTGGCACCGATAGCACCGACACTGAACAAATCAGACAAGAATTGTGGGGAGATGGTGTCCAACATCTCACCGGCAATAGGCAACTTTTCAGTCAACTCGACGAACATTTTTCTGGCGATCCTAAGACCCTTGTTGATTTGGAAAGAACCGTCAATCTCGGGGTCGTTAATCAAACCCTTCCAGCCAACGGTAGTTCTAGGCTTCTCAAGGTAGGCTCTCATGACAATATGAAGCTCTCCCTTGTGCGTCTCAGCGAGCTTATGCAATCTGTCAGCGTAGTCAAGAGCTGCTTTGGGGTCATGGATCGAGCAAGGACCAATGACAACGATGAGCCTGTCATCTTTACCATTCAAAATGTTACAAGCGTCCTCTCTACCTTTCAAGATGATGTCTTTACATTTGTCGGAGAGTGGGAACTCATGTTGTAACAAGTCTGGGGGAGATAATGGGTCGTAACCACGAACTGAAGGTTAGTCATTTTGTTGAAGTGATAATTTTCACTTATCGTGGGGTAATCGTGAGTCATAGTTAAACATACTTCTCCAGTCCTCCATACGGGATCTGTCGCCGACGTGTTCGTTTTGGATGAACATGATGCTGATGGGTGTTAGTTCGTAAAAGTGTTTTTTGTCGGAAAAAAAAAAAGTTTTTGGAAATCCAGGACCCTGCTTGAACTCTTAAGTACTCGCACCCAGCATGAAAGAAGCTTGACTCATATGCACGCCTCGGACTTCTTCTGCATGAAACACCTTCATAACTTGAGCTGTACATGCCCGAGAGAGACAAAAAAAGACAATTCCCATCAAGAATTACACTCTAATCTTCAACCCCATGCTGTTTATTTAAATCCTTAGCTCTTCTTACCAATTGGCCATCGCTGATTCGCCCGTATCCTGCCCTCGAAGCTCGCTCACTGTGTGCACTACCTAATGAGTAACAGGTGATACTAGTATGAATCATACTGCGCGCCTCATGCCTTAGCGAAGAAATACACATAACCACAATTAACCATGTCAGCCAAATTAGTGCTCTGACATTTTACCACCTTCTCGTCGTTGAACAATATCCAGTCTCCGTCATGCTTGACGAATACGACGTAGTGCCCTGTGTGAGGCGAATTACCCTTGTGGCATATGACAGCCTTCAATTCATAGGATGCCGCATGAGGCTCGTCCACGTTCTTGAGTAATGCATCCTTCAACTCCTCTGCCTCTTTTTGCACATTAACAACGGGCTTGGTGTCCTCAATAATTCCGTTATCGTCCGGATTGTTGAAAAGCCATTCCACTGCAACATTTACGTCATTTCCATTCACGACAAGGGCCTTCTTGGCAAGCTGGGCAGTGAATCCCATGGCCACAAGATTATCAATAGCGTCCAGATCAGGTTCGCCGGACCCCGCAGTATTTGTCTGTGCTGTCTCTGCGGGATTAAATGGGGCATCTATATCTGCGTCCTCCATGTGAGCGAAGATCCAGTTCATGGCGTCCTCGGCATTCTTGTTGCCGGTGTTGTAGAGACCCTTGATGCATCTCACATCAGGGAATCCCATGCTCAAAAGCTGAGCAAAAGCTTCTTCGTTTGGAGCGAATTCGGCTCCACCCTCCAGTGCGCTACCCTTTTCAACTCTTTTTTCATCATCTTGGAACTTTGGTGCAGCGAATGCTGAAAGGTCAATCTGCTCAGGCAACGTGATCGGAACGTCCACCTTAACAGGAACCCAGTTTTCAAGCTGAATTCTTTGGGCATTGACAATGAGGTTCTCCGGGTAGGTAGCGAAACCTGTTTGCTTAATTGCTGTAGTTTTCTTTCCGCAATTGTCACACTGGTAGCCATCGATTTGCTCAGACCCGAGAGAGTTGGAGAAACAATCACTCATGTTCACCTCTTTGTACTGCTTCTTACCATTTTCATCCTCTCCCACCACCTCGGCATTCAAGGCGACTGAGATGTTATCAACAAGCTCCTCCGATGAAGTGCCTGTCTTACACTCAGTACACAACAATTTGCTCCCCAACAAGAACTTGAATTGTTGATTCAAACTCAACCCAAATTCTTTGTCGAGCTTATCGAGAAGGTAGAGTAAAAATTCGTTCGCATCTTGTTGCTTGTTAGTCTTGAATTCGTAGTGGTCTGCACCAATATGGCTTTTGAAAGCCGATGGCTTCAAGCCAAGCTGATAGTCATCCCCCTTCAATTCATTTGGTCTAGAGTATCTTCCAGAATGAAGACCATCGTAGAGCTTAATCATGTGAGACCTCAAATCCGTGGCAGGATCTTTCACCAGCTTGTCAAAGTCCAAGTCAGCGAAAAAAGAGCGGTAGCTTGGAAAGCTAAAGAGTGCCTGGAGAGTCGAGTTGAGGTAACAGGAGTTACCCAAGTTTTGTAAACCGGTCAAGCCTGGGCCATACACTGGAGTGAGGAGTTCACCATCTTGGCCATCCAAATTGAATTGCCAGTTCATGTTCCTGTCAAGGTTCAACTCCACCAAGTTCTTTTCTGTTTTCACAGCAGTACCCAAGTCGATGCCAAAGTTGAGAAGCTTCTCACCTAGTTGTGGTACTTTCACTTCATCATTACATTTGTAGCAGTAACAATCGCAATTATCCTCATCTTCAGCCGAGAGCGAACCGAGCTTAACAGCGACGGAGTGCCCAGTATCCTCATAATGCTTCAAAGCATGCGAGTTGCCTTTGAGGTCAGATCCAAACTGTTCACGCCCGCAACCCACAGCACCACATGTAAAGCAGAGCCACAAGTTTTCCTCGAGATCGCACATGGAGCACTTCTTGAGGTCGATTGTATTCTTCTCGGCAACTATGTTGCTAGAGTGCTCACATGGATATACCTCGTTTTCCCAAGCCTTGATCTCGTCGTTCTTCTCCGCTGAGTTGGCAGTAAGAATCAGGTTGGCGAGCAGCCTAACGGGCTCAGGCGACTCCTCAATGCTTGCAGACTGATCTAAAGGCGCGACGTACACATTTGTGATTATGTCGTAGATGTCTGTCTCCTTCTGTTCCTGGACCTCGAGCTTGGGCTGCTTGGTCTTAGAGCCGTTCTCGTCTTCCTCCTCTCTTTTGGTCCTCTCGCTTTCAGGTTTCAACTTCTTCACGATATTGACATACAATGGATGACGCTGCTCGGAGTAGTGTTCCAGCGTATAGTTCTTCTGTGGAGCTCTTGCAAATGCCTGGAAGCAAGACATGCACACATCTAAGCCCAACTCATTATTCTCTGGGGTGTCGAAAGAATACATGCAATCATCCTTGTAAACCTTAGTCCCCGAGGGAACAGATTTAGGAAACGATGACCCTGCTGTGGCGATGTAGTCTGTAACAGACATTATTATCAGCCAAATCTAGGAAGAATAGGTGAAGGCAATCGGATGGACTGCAGGAACTGCGATCTGGGGTCCTCTGTTGCCGTGATAGAGGGCATGCAAAATCCGGAAAATAAAGAGATGGAAGTTTTATTTATCCATATCTGAAAGTGTAGGTGGTGTTTAAAAAGAAGACGATGCCAATTTCTCTGATGTTTACGGCTTTAGGTGACAGCGATTTACACTGCCACCCCGATTTGCAGCCTCTATAGATTCGCGTGATAAAATGGCAAAAAGACAGCGATCCTACAAACCTATTTTTGTAACAGGAGCTGTCATACTCATCCTCCTACTATCAATTGTAACCCCAGTTTGCGTCAAGACCATGAAAAACACCAGCGACTCCTCAAATCAGTCCATTGTATCTGGAATTTATTTCTCGAACTGGTCAGTGTACGGTGCTAAGCATTTTCCTAGTGCCTTGGACTCCAAGAACCTCAGCCATGTCTTCTATGCTTTCATGAAGATTGACGGCTCTTCTGGCGAGGTGACATACTCAGACGAATGGGCCGACGTCCAGATGCCAATCGACAACAAGGAAGGTGCCTTGGGCCTGTTTGCAGCCATCAAACAGGACAAGCGTGAGTTGAAGTTGTTGATGTCAATTGGCGGATGGGGCACTTCTGCCCAGTTCACTCAGATCACAAGCGACGAGGCGAAGCTTCTGAAGTTTGTCGAATCATCTGTTGCACTTGTTGAAAAGCATCATCTCGATGGTATTGATATCGATTGGGAATATCCCACGAACGCCCAAGAGGGCCGCCAGTTGGTCATCTTGCTTCAGCGCTTGAAAGAGAAGTTGAACAAATTGCACGGCGGATTACTTTTGACTATTGCATCTCCGGCTAGTGAGGATCACTGCCAGTACATCGACTTCCCTGCCACAGACAAGCTCGTCAACTATTGGAATGTCATGGCCTATGATTTTGCAGGTTCTGGCTGGTCCCAGAAGACAGGCTACCATTCTAACTTGTATGGCGACAATGGTGACACTAGCTTGAATGTGGATCAAATTGTGAATTACTACATTAGCCGTGTGGACTCCAAAAAGATCATTTTGGGCATGCCTTTGTACGGCCGCACGTTCAGTAAACCAGCTGAGCCCAAGGTTGGTGTTGAGTTTTCGAAGGAAGCTAGCGGGGATGGCACTTTGAACTATGGTGAAATCAATGCCAATGACGAAAAGTTTGACAAGGAAAGAGTCGCTGCTTATGCTTACAACAAGAACGACAATTTGCTTGTCACTTACGACAACCAGCAAAGTGCATCAGCAAAGGCAGACTACGTTAAGAATAAGAATTTGGGCGGTGGTTTCTGGTGGGACTCAAAGGGCGAGTCCAAGGATAAAGATAGAAAATTGGTTGGTAAGTTTGTCGACGCTCTTGGCGGTTCCGGAGTGTTGGACAACTCGAAAAACTGGGTATAGAAAAAGGTAGAGAATGAAAGTTTGGTTAGCGTTTTATCATAACTGTTTTTACTTCTAGATACAACCTCACAGATACGACGAATCTATGCAAAGGAACGGGATTGCTCACAAAATGGAGTCCATTCTCGCAAACACACTCAACACGGCAGCCACCAACTCTAACTGCAACTCTGTGGCCGAGCTCTGCTCAATCTCCTTGTTCACCTCCGAGGGCAAGTTGATGCTGAGCCCCAAGGGACTAGGTCCACCTTTAAGATTGAATGGGTAATCGCTGTAGTCGTTCAACAACTCATCAGCGCGAGAGAAGGCGTGATCTCTCTTGTCATAGTTCAATGTCATCAATACGTTTTCCAAGACGTTGGCAGCATAGGCGCCACACACCAAGGCAATTGTTCTCAAGTAACGCAACGAGGTGTCACCGGGAAAGTGGTCGTTGCTTAAAGAGTCCAAGTCCACGGTCTTTTGCGTCAAAATGTTCAAGACTCTGTTTCTGATGTGCTCCTTGGACATTTTGTCGGCGACCGGGTGGGTGGCCATATCGAACAAGAAGAAGTTCTTGCGTTCCGTTCTCAACACACCCTTGTCGACCAAGCCCTTGGCTAGTCTTTCTCTCACCTGCTTCAATTGGTATGAAATCTTCATCAAGTTCCAGGTCTCACCAGACAACAAGTCGATCCAGTTTGACACAGACAAGTGGCCCTCGTCATTCTTCATTATCTTGAGAGCCTCGTCTAACAACACCTCACCGGTGGGGTCCGTGTCGATAACCTCGACTAGACGATCACTGAGCTCAAATCTTCTTCTGGCGGGGTCGTTGACCAAAGTGATCTTCCCTCTGAAGGTCAATTCCAATAAGATGCAACCCCGGAGAGCATATGATATGTTGTCATTCCAGAACGACAAGTAGCCCTCCTTGTCCTTGAGACCCATCAACAAAACCTCCTCCATAAGAGTCAAGAAAGGCACCTTCAAGGCATGGCGGTCAACAATGTCTCTGTCGTCCACGCCGATCTTGTGGTCTGGAGTTCTGTCTCTGGACACATCGTCCTCGTCAAACAGGTCTGACCTTCTTGCCGCTGTGGGCGTGGCCAGCTTGGCTCCACGGCGCTTCTGCAAAACAGACGACATTTTCTATGTGTTTGTTGTGATTGGCAGCGTTTTCTGTAATGGTGATAATCCTCGAACCGCCAGTCCGCTTTTTCCCTGTCGGTTTTTTTTCTTTATTTTGTGCGCTCCATACACCTGACAATATGGACAGCCCGACAGGGCCTGGGAAATATAAAAGTGCGTGAGGCTGGGACGAGGCAAGAAACAAAAATATTAAAACTTCTTCAAGCTTTGGCTCGAATTGCCTAACCAGCCACTTGCTGTAGTTCTTAGCCGTCAACGTGGGGGTCTCCCTGTAGAGGCAACGTAACACGGAATTCTACAACCTACAATTGAGTAATCCTCCTCCTCGTCTGTTTCGAGAGCCCCCTACAAATTTTTCATAAAGACTCCCAGAACTGTTCTTGTGGCTCTTGGGGGTGCAAAGGCTTGGCTGAGTTGGCTGCGAACTCGGACACGGCTGGCCAGCATTGTGCGAATACAGCCCTACTGGGCTCATTGTGTTAGATAGGGAGCAGATTGGTAGAGGTGATTTAAAAAATTAAGATTTTGTGACATGATTGAAGCTCTTTTGGGAGATGAGACGTTTTGGCTCGTTTGGATGGTCAGTGGAGGAAATGTTGGTGTCTGGTACCGATGCAATACATTCTCGATTAGCCGGGCAGCGTATAGTGAAAGATAGTCAGGAGCACGGGTGGACCAACTTTGCGTCATGGAGCAGTATTTGCAGTCACCGAGATGGTCCAATTGAGTGGAATCGATAAGACCTGGAGCTGCTGAACTTTCAATGACTTCAAGTTATTGCCTTATGGGTCCACAGCTTTGGTACGCGGTAATACAGGTCTGGGGCACACATGGTATCACAAAGTTATGAAAGTCGTTTCAGAAGCAAAGTTTTGGAGAATCCACGAAAGTGCTGTCATTGGAATAAGTGCCCTATGAGTGAAAGCCGATCTTTAAAATCCATCTAAAATCACACTGTCCCTAATAAGGGACTGCCCTCATAACCTGCCTCGCTAAAGCACCTGCCATGGCTGCAAACCACCAAACACCCCCAAAACAATACTGAATTCTTAACCAGCATTCTGTTTCAACACTGAAATACCCCAAAATCGTAGTCGTTTCAACGTACCCCAAACATCCATGTTTCCCCTTTTTCATTACCCCAGATGTACTGTTTATCTCCTGGGACGCCTGGGCGCGCTGCACATCAACCGATATCAAATCCATCAAACTAGCTCACAACACCAAGAGGCAATGGCGTCTCGGCATATTTCCTACGATACACATCTGCTATCTTTCACCAATGACAGTGATAACCAGCTGGTAAACGACGACTTTGTCTCGTTCCCCACGCTACCGGATCCAGAGCAGACCGCAAACCGTTCCTTCTCGAAGATTATCACCAAAACACTCCGGAAGGTCACCAACAACGCATCCAATTTGGTCCATACATATGCCTCGCCGCGTCATCATACGGAGGCCCCTGATTTACCCGCGGACCCGTCGGACTCCAGCATATATCACGAGCATTCGGCTCCGGAGAGCCCGACAAAGAGAACTCCGGCTGAGCCCAGACTGAAGCTCCAGAGCTCCGCTGCGTCGTTTCTTTCTGATAACGATGATCGTGTTCTGAAGACTTCAAGAGCGTTGCTGGACCTGGGCCTTCTGGACTCGCCATCTTCTCCGCAGAATACACCACGAGTGGACCCGACTAGCCGAAACACCACCAATGGTTCGTGGAAAACACACTCAGCATCGAAGTCAAACCTCCTTACTCCTGCATCACCAGCCTCTATCAAGAGAGCTGAAAGCATTCATGGCTACTCTCCTGGTCGAGATCAGGCTCCATCCTTGTTCAGAATGAACTCAGACCTACATCCTCGAGTCATGTCAGACAACAAGTCACTCCGCATCTCCACAATGGGCCTTACAAAGCAAAACTTACCAGTCGTGTCTCAAAGCGACGTAAATGTGCAAAATACAGAGGGTGAGCCTGTTACATCGAGGCCCGTGCTGATCCGTCTGGGCATCAAACCCCAGGTAACTCCTAAGAATGGGTCCCCATCTTTCAAAAGTGATACCAAAGCGCTCCAAAACAGAATATCCTCCATTTTCAACAACCTCCCTAACGACATTGAGCTCTCGGATGATTCCGCATCTGACATCGAGACCATCAATAACGACAGCATATCGGCCTCGCCAATGGCCCAAAGATCATCGCCTAGGCAGCCTGTTTTAATCAGCAACTCCGAACCATCACCCGCAAAACAGGATCGTCAAGCCTTACAGATCAAAACCCCACAATCACCACCCTCATCTGCATCTACCCAAATCAATAAGACCCCATCAATGACTCGAAAAATATCCGCCAATTTATCATCGTCCATTTTGGATAGCGCCAAGAGCATTATAAACAATAATATCACCG